ATCTTCAGAACATGGCCAAAGAGCCCGAAAAACCCACAACAACCATTAGATCCCGGCCATGAAAGCCTTCACAAATACAAACTACAGAATGTTCAAAGAGTAGAAAATAATGAGATATCAAACTGCAGACATATATTATCACAGTACCAAAAGTCTAGTCTAAGAGAGACAGAGGGATCTAGCCCAAGGAGCCGTAACAACTACTTCCGCATATTCAGAAAAGGCAGAAGTTAGAAGATGCATGGCCCACTGAATGCACTGGATGTTTGCAGAACACTTAATTTGCCTTGGGCAGGAGAAAGGGATTTGTAAAACAGCACCTTGTCCTAGTGAAGAGCATGCACTGGGGATCAACAGAAAATACCCCTCTCTCTTCTAACAAAGGTGACAGTGACCAAAACCACTATTTTAACAGTCACAATTTTAATGAACAGGAATACAGTGTGCTCGAAGTGCAAGAAGAAAGATTCAATTCAGTTTTCAGGACAGGCGTATCAGGCTGTGAACGGAAAAGAGATAATAAGCACTGCCCTTATATGCACTTTGGAACTTTCCAACATGTGGGTAGCTAGTAAAGGAATGTCTCCCATGACATCCTGACAGTCAGATAAGAACAGACAACGGAGACTTAAGGATGCCGGTACCAAACCACTTCATAAAGTCAGCCTGCAAAACTCAAGAAGTCTCTTTAACACTGTTTACTATAGGATGTCTACCTGAAGGCTCAGGAGCATTACAGGAAAGCTGTCCCAGTAATATAAAACATACTGGCAGGCTTCCTCCTGCAGGATTGGAAAGTTGACAAAACATCAGTGAGAGAAGTCCTAAAGCCCTGAGATATCAGGCCTGGATAGCAGAGAAGCCACTGATTCCTCTGAATAGATCATGTCTGAAAGCTATGGATGCCTGGGCTAATAAAGGGCTATAAAATCAACACTATCCTCAGCTGGTGCACCCTGAGGGAACAGATGGTGGGGAAGCCAGTCAGCCAAGGACTAGACAAGCATGTTCATTCCTACTACATTTCTACACAGATGTTGTGTAGAACAGACTTGCCAAAAAGTACGACATCTGAAGGCCAGTATGTTCTGAAATCTAACTGCATACCTTCAGGAGAAGCCTCTTTTCCACATCTTGCATCTCCTCCTTGATCAACTTGTCTGCAAATATGTTGTCTGGCCCATCAAGTGGACCACTAAAATTAATTTCTAACATCTTGAAGATCAAAAACGAATCTGAGTGTCCTAACTTTGTATCTTCCAGTTTGTTCATGCAAGCTTTGGCAGATACACAGAATACCCCCTTAAGCAGACCTGGGCAAAGTGCGGCCCTCCAGATGTTCCTGAACTGCAAATCCCAACATTCCTCACTGTGTGGGCTAGGCCCAACTTTCCTCACACTATTGGTTGTGTGGGCTAGGCCCAGATCTCCTCACTATTGGCGCTGTGGGCTAGGAATTATGGGAGTTGCAGTTCAGCAACATCTGGAGGGCCACATTTTGCCCACCCCTGCATTTAAGCATCTGATGCTCCTTGATAATGCTCTAAAGTTCAAATGAAAACTTGATTGCTCTGAACTCCACAAACTGATGTTAAGAAAGGCCCTGTCTTACCCGGCCTCCCTGGTGAACACCCCAACCCAGCTGGCATCACCTGAAATAACCATTCTGGCTGGAACAAAGAAGCTGATACCCTGATTTGGTAGTGAGCCATCAGCACCACGAAGTGTAGTGATCCTTATTTCTCATCCTGAGATCCAATTTCTTGGCAAATGGCAATGGCAAAAATAATTTCAACAGCCTCATGTTGCGAAGGTAAGTTCACGTTATTATTGAGTTCCGGGATGACACTAAGAGTTCCATGAGAAAAGTTCTCATCACCATCACCACCATCATCATAAGTTAAGAGTCTTTATACCATGACAAAGCTCTGTGCTGCCTGTTCAAAAATAGAAGTACTTTGAATTGCTGGATGTCTAGGAGAACTCCCAGATATCTGAAGGATTCGGAAGATGTCAGAGAACTTTGTGTCTAGCTTAAAGAAAGGCTTTTTTTCTTTTGTCTGTGTTTCTTGCAGGCTATTCAAAGGGAATATGAGTAATGCCCTCTTCCATCCAAGAAATACAAAGTCTTCAGATTCTTGGAGCAAACTTCATAGTGTCTGAACAAAAAAAATACACCAGTCTAACATGTATTTTATCCCCAGTGGGATGGGATATCAGCTGAGGAGAAAACAGAGTGGTTCCAGTACATCTTGCCCCAGGGCTGACTGAGTTCTCTAAAGCCTGTTGGAAGATTCACTCAGAGAAGCAGGATGTCTGATTCCATGCCTTGTGCCATGTTGCCATATCACAACCTGCCTGAAACTCCAGGTGTGTGAAAACCAAAGTTAGAGGTGTGGTTCACTGTTTTAAAAAAATTGCACCACCCCCTGACAGTGCAAAGGTAACTGAGGTAATTTGCACCTTAACCAAGGCCTTGTTATAAAGAGACATGGACCATAACAACTCAATGGGCTCTCAGAGTTGTGCACACCCAGTCATTTTGGAAAACCTACTAAGCCTTCAAAAAGCTGAAGTAGCTGGTGACATCTCACGGAGTTCTGTCAGAACCCACCTATATTGATTAAGGTGATGTGATGGATCTAACAGCTCTCCCCCTCCACCAAGCTGTTAACTGATCCCCTGGAGAACTGATGGAGCAAAATGGTGGTGAGGAAGGCAGTTAGTTACTCTTCTTCACATGCAGTCCTGCCTAAAAGAGGAAAACTTCACAAAACCCCACCAAAGGTAGGCTCTAACACCAAGAACTCCATCACGCTGACTCTACATAAGGCTGGTCTGGGAGAACTGTAGCCCATCGCTGTTTAGAAAAGGATCAATCCAACTAGAATTTGTCCATCATCTTGAAGAAAGGGGCAATGTGAAGGTCTGGAATGCTCTCTACCACATAGAGAATTATCATTGTAAAGTATGCGAAGAATCTATGCCAGTAAAATTCTTTCCTCTGTAGGGGCTTCTAATAAATTTTGACAAATATTATGGAATGTGAAATTGTCACAATAATTTAACATTAGCAAAGTGTCCACTGTATTCTATGCACTGTGTTGATTAAACATAACACAGTAGTCAAAGCAACTTTTCAGTTCAATTGTTCATGTAGAGTTTTGTCTTATACTGCACTATTTCCTCAGGGGAGGCCATTTCTTCTACATCAGAGACTCCTGCGCTTGAGACTCATTTAAGATGAGTGTCTGCCATTAAGCATCATTTTGCCATGACTGCAACGTCCTCAGATAACTGGATCTGGGGGAAGAGCAGCAGCACAGAGAGAACAAGGACAGAAAGATAGAGCAAATTCTAGGTATTGCACGGGATTCTTCAATAAATAACTGGTAGTTTTCAAAGATTTAAGACAAGAATGGGCAAGAACTGGCAATACTCTCCTGATGTGAAGTTATTTAACAAGAGAAACCCCTGGAAAAATGTGCAATCTAATGGAAGTAACATTTCCTTTCAAGAACAAAATGAATTCTCGCATGTGACATTATCCTTCTCACATTCCCTCCCTCCCAGGAATACCAGTATCATTTCCAGTGACAGTGCAACAGCTATATCGCCACCAACAGGGTTTGCCTTTTCTTGTCTTACCATTGTACATCATAACTGTATCATGAGAATGGACTAGGGAGTGGTAGGTGTGGTGTGGTATGGAAGGAAAACGTACTGGTTATGGCTATCACACTTACCGGTTTCCCAAACTCCAATTCCGAAAAGAATTTATACCAAGGCTCATTCTTTAAATCTATCTCTTCTGGGCTTATATCCCGAGTCTAAAGGAGTTCGTGACACAGATATGGAAGAAAGAAGGACAACATTATGCAAAGAATACACAAGAAGGGACTATTAAAGATGCCACATTCTGCATTTTTCCATTGGTTTTGTGCACACTCAGTTGGTACTCTAAACCTGCTTCTTGGTAAGAGTAGCTACAATCCTATACAGTATATGCTTTTCTGGGAGTATATATTCTGTTGAATACAATTCTTACATTCGTATATAATAGGCATGTACAGGATTGCAGTGATAATTACTAAATAAATCCTGTTTCTAAATTACAGTTGGACAAACATATTTCTCTAAAAAAATTTCCACAGAGTGGATATAACTACAGAGGAATAAGAAGAATCACCACTGGATAAAAGTTTGGTCACATTAAAAGAAAGCATTTTTCTCTTGACTTTGGTTATTCTTCAATTTTCGAATCCAACGATTGGGAAGTTTCACTCCAATGCACTTTCCATACATAAATAATTAAACTTTGTTTTCTTATGAAGAATCCAATATGTAAATTCTAACATAAATATTTTGGTCTTCAGTGTATAAATATTTCATCTTTGCTGGTACTTCCATGTGTGTGGCCTACAAGAAGCACAGAGCACTAGACCCTGACTTAATTCAGAAAGTGGGTGGCCAGGTTACGATCACAGAGCAATGATACCTTAATTGGTATAGTGATTATAATCTCTTTGCATATTTATTATAATACCATCAATCAGTGAGAAGCAAATGTGTGTCTGCCTTTCTTGCCTGTCCTGCTTCAGACGACATTACGCTCTTAGATACTGACACAGTATTTGAATAAGGCATGTAAATACAAAATCTTCTGCTGGGTGGAAACTTCCAGTTTCCATTTTTGGAGAGTCTGGGGTGCATGAGGGTCTTGGGGGACCCCTAAGATAAAAGCCACCACTCCCGGAGGTCTCTAGGAGCAGAAATCAGCCTCTTTGAGGCCAAAGAAGCGTCACTACAGAAGTGCTAGGATGCCCCTCAGGAACCACAAATAAGTCTGAGAGCCACATGTTCCTCAGCCCTGTTTTTAAATATGTATCAACATGCATGCCACATCAGCCAGCATAAGCAGTCTTTGTGCGCATTCTGTAGATGCATCCATCACCTGCAAAAGAGAAGGTCTTCCCTGTGCTGGTGATCAGCTTCAGAATGACTTTTCTCGGATGCTGGGGGGTAGGTGGCAAGGGGGCTGCCTGTTGTACATTTTTTGGCAAAAGAGTTAAGAAGTTTACTTTTTTTAACTAAAACACAAAATACTATTTGATGATTTTAAGCCCCCTGATTTTACTTTTTTGTTTAGCTTAAGTTTTATTATTGAACTGAATTTTTAATATTAATATAGACCATTTCTAAATCCTCTCTGACATCTTTTAATAAATAAATATTGTTTCCTTCTCCATTTTCAATTTGATGCTATTCATTTTGAATAAAAATCATCAGGACATGGATTTACCAAGCCATGTAAGTATGACATACACTAATAATGCTGGAAGGATTGTAAATTTCTTTGCAAGAAAGAAAAATATAAATCAACTGGAAGGCACTGAAGTTATTTTTAACCCAGGGTTGCTTATCCTAGGCTCACCCTATTTAAACACATACTCTTTATTGAATTGGGATGCTTGTAACTGAGGCAGATAGATGGGAGAATGAGGGAAAGTGTAATCTTGCTCTCCACCACACCTATGGGTCACTTCTCCAAACAGTCCTGTCTGAATAGGACAAATGCTCTTCTACTGATGAAACACACAAAGCCTTCTCAGGCTCCTAGCCGAAAGTCTTAAAAGTCAGCTGAAACATTCAAGACTCTTCATTTTCCAGGTGTTGAACAGCGTTCTTCAAATACTAGTTCCAAATACAGAGTTTCAGTTTTTATCATGCCTCTTCCTGCACCCCACTCCCCACCTTTACACCTACTGTACTTTACACAGAATATGGCATCTTTAACAGTGCATGGATATATGAGAAAGCCTGTCATAATTGGCAAACAGAGTGGAGGGTGGAATTCTAAAGTAAAGAGGAGACAGTTAGAAAGAATATGTTAACTGAGAGGTTTCTAAGGGGAATGGATACAGAGGCTTCATTCTGTTGGATCACCGACACTTAATACACAGATAAATGTTAAGAATTCAGACAGAATTAACACAGAGGGAAAACTTGAGAGGACAGGAGCAGACTGAGCAAGAAAGGCTCCCCATTTTGTGCCTACAATCTATTTGAAGGCAAAAAATTCTAATGCTGCAGTTTATGACAACCACTGCACACCGCGTAGACTGATTTAAGCTTATTTAAACATCTCATCTCAGAAGACTGAAAAGAAGTGTGTTCAAAAGGTGCTGAAAGAATGGAAGGCCTCTTCCTCTTGCTGCGTCATGTGGAGATTAGACCTGGAAGGATAAAATTCTAAAAAAAAAAAAAAACAACAACCACACGTTCGTTCATTCATTCATCCATCTATTCATTCATGCTATTTCTATACCAACCATTGCTAAAATTCTCTGTGCAAATTATTCAGAAAAATTGAAAACACAATATAAAAAATTATATAAAGAATGAACTACAATTGCAGCACGAAACATAAAGATTTTTTAACAGAACAATACATTTCTGTGGATGTCTTAGCACATTTTCTTGACTTTTAAAAATAGTCTCTAGCCAAACATTCCACGACTCTTTGATTAGGATAGGGTATCAACACGTTTTCCAACCAGCAGAGAGCAGAAAACAGTCTAACCTTCTACACATCTCAGAATGTAAAAGTAGACAAGTGACATGAAACGTTTCTGACTCCTGTGCTTTCTTTGCATGTTTTAAAACTTGCAGTGGCCTCAGCTGCCCCATCTGCCCCAGATGGGGATCAGAACTGCAGCATGGTAAGAAAACAGGGAATGTTTTCTCTTACCCCCCTTTTCCACACCACATTCCTGCTGAAAAAAATACTGTACTCCCACAGTTGCCACTTGCACTGTGATATTGCTGTTGCAGCAAGCATCAGCTGGTAGGGAAGCCATCATTTTCAGCTGGCAAATGGTATGAACACTATTCATCCCACTGCCCTGCGGTGGCTAATGTCTATTGAGGCTGTTGGTGTTGAGGGAGGAGTCATGAAAAGTCAATCCAAAGGGCCTGTCAGAGACGGAGCCAACTAAAAGGCATAAACTGACGATGCTGAAGCAATCTGATTATGCCACCGAACAACAATGAACGTATTATTAACAAAAACAAATCGAAGGTTCATAATGAAACAAAGGCAACTTGCAACAAGGGAAGTCACTGGTCACAAGAAGTGAGAGTGTTGAACTGTTCCCAATTATTCACTAATTCACTGCTCTGCTTAGGCACTTCTGGTAAAGCAGGCACGCAGCACACGTGAGAAATAAAGGCCAGCAAATTAACCTTTTTGAAGGAGAAGGACAAAGGGAAAGGGTTCTTCTTCTGCCTACTGGTTAGACTGTTCTGGGTGCAGTGTGTATGTGTGTGTGTGTCTGTCTGTCTGTCTGTGTCGGTGTCGGTGTTGGTGTCTGTCTGTCTGTCTGTCTCTCTCTCTCTATCTCTCTCTGTGTGTGTCTAATTAGAGGAGGGAAAGAAATTACATTTTCTTCCTCCCCTAAATGTTTCAGAGAGAGAGAGAGAGAGAAAAGGGTGCTGCTATTGTTTTTTTCAAAGAAGCCAACTTGCAAGAGAAAAAGCACCTGTCTTTTCATCCAGAAGGAATGAAAAAGATTGCGCAGAATTGCACCATGCATGGGACCACATCACTGGGAAACAGGCAAATGAATTTACAGAGACCAGCAAGGAGGGCTCAGAAATGGAAGACTTAGGATTGCCTTGTTTTCATTTTTAACAATCATTTTAAAATCCTAAACACCCAATTCAAAATTGAAACTTTATACCTGCTAAAATATAAGCATTAAACCCCCCTCCCCATCCAACAGGATATGGAAACAATGTGGACTATTTATTTAGGAAGTGAATCACACTCAAGGCAAAGAACATCCAATAAGAAAAGGCCTTTTCAGCTAACTGGGAATGGACACCTAAATGAAGGTATTAAGATGTTAAATAATAAATAAGTAATTTAGACAGTCTTCTAAAAACAAACCAGTGTTAAAAACAAGCTGTATGAAACAATGCTACCAGTGAACAAGGACGCACACGCACACGCACACGCACACACACGCACAAACACACCCACACAAGATATTAACATTACCAAATTTTCATTGTTCAGAACTGAAGACCTCCCTGGCTGATATTCATAGATGCTTTTCGGTTCAGCACGGTATTTTCTTGTATCCACTTTTTTGTCTGGAGGTTCCCAGTCATTCCTGTTGTGGTGAAAATGGTTCATTGCTGTCATAGATATGAATATTTTATTTGCAAATTTAATTTTTGTTTAATCATGCAAAAAAGAGGAATGATTTACATGCTAGATGAGTCACGTTGTTCCAATTAAGGTGGAGGGCTTATCTGAACCCCATTTCACTGGTTGCCAAAATACTGTCCCATTTATCAAAACTGCTCTAAACTTCTTCACCAAATTATGATGCTGGTTTTTTTTACTAGGCACCAAATTCATGGCAAAGTATCCAAAACCACTACCCCTTTCTCACCAGGTGCCATGCCAAACCTTGCATGAAATACATGAAAAAACTCTGGGGCATGGCACTTTTTAAATTTTCACCACCTCTTCTGACATTACAGGATTTGCATTTTATCTAGGTTTGACTAGGCCTGTGTGTGACTAGGCCAGAGCTTGGAAGGAACATATTGAAATCAAAATATTACTTATATTGTTGGCAAGTACACTCCCTTCATGGTGAGAGGCATACTGATCACCCACCTCCATTCTGATTTAATTTTGAAACATGTGTTCACTCTTCAGCTCACTGTATTTTTATTGTTTCATTCAAAAACTTGTGTCTCTATATATAAGAATTTGCTTTGCCCAGGCTCATCCCATAAAGCCGGTGTCATCATCTTCACTGGTTAGGGCAAAGACTATCACTGAGGTCTCAAGATTGCTTTTTTCTGCCTAAATGTGTATGCCTTTACATCCCTGTTAACTTAACAAAGCCTGGTTCCCAGCACTAAAAAATACAGCCTGCAAAAAGGTCAACAAACTCTACCCAGCCACAAGGACCGGTGATCACTGCCGCAGAAGACTAGCTAAAACACCCATCAGTCACAGTGACAGATCATCTCTCCTCTTATCACAATAATACACCCATAACAAAAAACATCCTGATCACCATAATCACCCAATCTCCTGAAAAGGACAAAAAGCTGGTCCCACAGCTACAAGTACTCATTACTTAACTATCCCACACACTACACCAGAACACAGATGGAGTTTTAACTCCTGTCCTCTGAAGATGCTGGCCACAGATACTGGTGAAATGTTAGGAACAAAAACCTTCAGAACACGGCCAAACAGCCCGAAAAACCTACAACAACCATTGGATCCCAGCTGTGAAAGCCTTCGAGTATACATACTTGACGTATGTTTTTCTTTCTTCAAGAACAGAACATTTGTTTAAAATTAATTATTCACAGTTTGAAAATATTACCAATAATTTTTAAATAGGGATTTAAAATGTAAATTCATAAGATGAATTAGGCTGCAATTGTATAAAACACTTAACTGGAAACAATAGATACATTTCATCCAGATATGTAGAGGACTGCACTTCTAAAGCGGCAAAAAATGAATATCCTATATAGGGTACAATCCATTTTTTAGAATGTCATGGTATAAACTGCCATATTAAATATGAAAAAAATATGGGAAAAACATTGAGATTAACAACTTTAGGGGAAAATGGCAGGGTTCTTCAGCATTTCAAGATGATTTGCCTGTGGCTTCCTTCCTGATGGCAGGAAGTCACCATTTGTGTTTCTATAATGTTAAAACTTGAAACTTCTATAATGTTATAGAAAATAAGTGTTTTTAGATTGAGTGACTGAAAGGTGGAAAAATGCCCTGAAAAAATTAAGAACTACTGCTGTAATTATTGTTAAATATCTAGTCACACTGAGTTACAATCCGTTGTACCAGATTAATCCCAATGGTTTTTTAGCATATTTTACCTTTCAGAGCTTGTTTTAAGAGATGATGAACGATTTGGCAGTGGCAAAGTGGCAGACCTCTTCACCACCTTCTCTGTGTTGATGGTGTCATTCTCGCTCTTAGAACGGGGCACTGAAGTTACTGCAATTGGAGAATTTTTTTAAAATAATTTTAAGTTCAGAAAGAGAACAGTCAGTTCTAAAAAATACTAAGCTTTTGCAGTCTAATATCACAAGAGTTTTTCAGCTATAATTTGATACAATTAACAATTTATCCACATCTTCACTTGCACTATTTAAATTCTGTAATACTTATAGAAGTGCACTTTCAGTTTCCAGACATTAGCTACTTACTGTCTTTGGAACAGGAGTATTGAGGAAAATAGGAATCAGAGTCTTCATCTGGAAAAGAACATAACTGCAATCACTTCAAATATTCCATTTATATACATGCATGACTGAGGATTTTCCTTCCGTACCTACATGGTTCTTAGCCTGAACTCTGATACCACTTTCATTGGTTACATCCAAATAAACATGGTAGCATCGAGGAGATAGTGTGGGAGGGAAATGTTGCAACTTTAATCCTGGAAAAGGTAGACTCTTAATATACTGGAAATATTACATGCCAGGGCTCCGTTAAAATATCCAGTCTCAAACATGTTCAGTACCTTTGAATATATGAATGCCTGGATAGGACTTCTCTCTCCATCTATATTACTAGTTATAAATGTCCACAGTTTGTTTAGTCAGCATTTTCAGTTACTGGATAAGCCACATTAGGAGCAATTGAGCAGGATTACACCATAATAACAGACTCTTGTTGCTATTCTAGAATTCTCACCAACTCTTGCCATGTGTACCAGCCCTCTTCTGCCCCTTCAAACCAATTTGCCCAGTAACCCACAACCTTGAGAGATCCCTCCTCTTTTCCCACCCTGCCAGGACAGAAGACCATCTCTTTTGACTCGGCTCTTCCAGTGACGGTAGATGACCGTTGACCGACTTTATTTTATTGAGCAGTTTTCAGCTGCTCTTTGAAATAGCAAAGGATGCTTTAAGTAAGGACAATACTCCATGACCTGAGAGTCCTTCAGGATCTCTCCATGATGGAACACATGGGACAGAGTGGGTTTAACAAAGGCTGGCCTAGAGCGGACAAAAGACTTCTGCACATCAGCAAGCCTGGAGCAAGCCTGGCCAACTTCTAGAGAGCCAAGGGTCATATATGCCTATCCCTGGGCCTGAGAAGGCCACAGTGATCCTACCTCTCCCTCCCCACCACCCATATTTTTCTTTTAAATATGGTTTTACTTGAAAAGCCCCCTTATACTATTATTATTTTAAAAAAATTGAGGCATGTGGGTAGCTGGGGTTCAATGGTGCTCAAATCATGACAAACCCCTCTAAAGAGCAAAATATGACTTTCTAACCAAGAGGGGCAGAGGGCATTTTTGGCACTCTGAGAGCTACTCTGCCCACTGTTGGTCTAGACGACCGGCTATTCCACAGGGACACAGTGTCCGAGAAAATAAAGCTTACATATTAGGTTACATGGTGTTTGCAGCACTTGCAAATTTTACCTACGCTTTGAGTCTGTCTGTGACATTAAAAGGGTGCTGAAGCTTGTAAAAGGAAAACCACAAGTTTTCTGAACTTTAAAATAATAGAAAGTCACAGAAAAGGGCTCAAAACTCCAGAAAAAGGGAACAAAACAAGCTCTGCCGAATTTGAAATACGTAATATGTGGAGTGGGGTGTGTGCGCATGGGTGAGAATTCTGTTTTTGCATAGAGACCACATGCTCAATCTCTGTCTGAAGTGCAGTTGCCATCTTGTTTAATTAATGCCCATGACAGCAGGTAGATTGTTCAGCGACAAATAAAGGCAGAGATGACTCAAACAAGGAATGTGATTATGAGCACTTCACCCTACATTTAAGCACAACATGATTCAAACTAAGGTACCAGGCCAGGGAAGGTGGGGGAAGAGACATTTTAAAAGATGACATGAGTCCTCATGGTTGTCTGTGGTACTTGCTATTTACTGGGCTGAGATCTACAGCTCAACAATCATCTGCAGTATTCCCCTCAGCTTTTGGAAGCAGATTTCAAGCTACAATTCCCTCAGCTCACCATGCTGACATGACTCAGCACTTAACTCCATTTCTAAAGTGCTCAGTTCTGATACTCCGAGTGCTTTATAAACTATATTTATTATATTTATTTATTGGACTTATATACCTCCCCATAGCGCTACAAGCACTCTCCGGGCGGTTTACAATTTTTAATTATACAGGCTACACATTGCCCCCCCAGCAAGCTGGGTACTCATTTTACCGACCTCGGAAGGATGGAAGGCTGAGTCAACCTTGAGCCGGCTACCTGGGATTTGAACCATGCTGACATGACTCAGCACTTAACTCCATTTCTAAAGTGCTCAGTTCTGATACTCCAAGTGCTTTATAAACTATGGCTGTGTACCTTGAAACAGGTGCAGCAAGCAATAAACTTCACTGGGGAAATGACAGCACTGAGCACAGTTTTAGCTGCAGTACAGCGATTTAACCACTGCGCCACGAGGCTCATATTGTACAACTATGGCTGTGTACCTTGAAACATGTGCAGCAAGCAATAAACCTCACTGGGGAAATGACAGCATCATGCCAAATAAAGCTTTAGTCCCACAACCTTCACCACAAATTACAAATCTGCCTCCTCACTAGCTATCATCTACCGTTATGGACCTGCAAACTCCCAAAGAGTGCTCAGATATCTGCCACGCTAGTTGAGTGGCTCTTGCATTACTGTTGCTTGTCAGCACTCACCCAGTACAGCAATTATGACCCACACAGTTGCACTGGCTTGGTGTCCGCCGTGAGCTTTTAGATCAGTGTTACAGTCTCAGATGCAACACCCCTGGTGCAGCAATTGCTGTGGCATATGCCCAGCATTCATTTGCTGTTTCAGACTCCTCAGCCTATGCTGTAATTCACCATTGTTAAGTCTGTATTCCATACAATACATATTTTATCTGAAAACCAAAATCCTCACAGAAGACCTTTCATACTTAAATCAGAACCTGTTCTGTACTTTCAACCATGACAGGGATCTTCTCCGAGACAGGATCTTTGGAAGACGTTCTGGTCGGCTTGCTATCCATAACATTTTTATCCCACAGTACCATTTCTCAAATATGCAAAACATATTCAGTTTAAAATTCCATATTCATTTTAATCCATACCGTGGCCCCTCTTACAAGGGGATGGAATTGCACACCTAAAAAATTTCTGGGTTGCTTCAAAACTGGAGTTTCAACTGGAAGCAAGGAGAATGGATCACCTATATGCACCTTGCTTGTAAGCCTATTAGTGCATCCCAGGGGCTTTCTAGAATGCTGTTAGCCTGACAAAGAAGACACACATCTCCTTTACTGTTTGTATTTTAGTTTTAAAAAGAAAAAGCAAGTTTTCTGCATTAGAAGTGGCCATTCGGCTCCTGACCTGAAGAAACTGTGCAACTCTTCCAATCTTGTTTCCCCCCCCCCCCAATCTTACATACAGTTAAAAGTAGGGGGAAATGGCAAAGCTCAGCTCTATCCTTGGAGTAATAATGCTCAAGCATGACTCGCTACGCCAAAAATGAAATGTTTTGTCATTAATGTAGAAAATGTGGGGGGAAATGATGTCAGCACTCATTACTTGAAAAAGTGAACATGCTATATGCGACACTGTTGTGTTTTAGCACATTGCGTCCAAACTCTGCAGGCTTTGTTTGGACACAAGCCACTATGATTACAGGCTTTGTTTGGACACAGGCATGATTCCATCTGACAATAACAGCTAATTATGTATAAATGAATAAACCCATGTGTGCATCTCACAGTCAGCCACCCAAAATTATTCAATCAAAGATCCAATAAAATGGCCTCCATAGGTGGCATATCGTTATATTTGGTCTAACACTCTGTTTGGAAGCAAGATAATATCAAACATCCTGCAGCAATGGTAATAATACCCAATGTATAGAGAACTGAATAAGCAACTGGGAATGCACATTCCAGAATCATTCTAGGCTATGGAGAATGACACGTCCAAGCTTCACCAAGACATCTTCCATGAGGAATCATATTGTTACATACCATCAAGTCACTTCCAGTGTACAGCATGATTTTCTGACTCTTAGTCTATCCACTATATTGCACTTGCTCTTACGTATGGGAAACGTGAGTGACTGCAGAAGGCATTCTGCACCTTGCAATGCTTCCTTCATCTTAATGTATGGCAGGCCATGTCAAGGTGGGGGGGTTAAATAAAAATACAATACAAATGTTTTCATTACTATTCTCTTTCTTTCTTACTTACTTTGTTTGATTTGGTTGTAATTTGACGGTTCTTTCTGCTCAATAAAGTTTACTAAAATATTTTAAAAAATAAATTATGATCATACAAAAATGGTGCAGGACCGCCATTTATTTCCATATCCTGGGCTATCATCATCATCATCATCATCATCATCATCATCATCATCATCATCATCATCATCATCATCATCATCATCATCATCATCTGTCAAGTTACTTCCAATTTCTGGTGACCCTTTCCAGGGTTGTCTAGGTACACTCAGTAGTGGTTTCCCATCTTCTGGAGGTGCAGCTTGCTCAAGACTATACAGGCTGGCTCTTCTTCAAGGAGGCACAATGGGGATTCAAAATTCTGACCTAGCAGTTAGATACTTCATGTACTGAGCTGTTCAGCTAGCCCTGGGCTATAGGCATTCAATACAGCTCATTGTCTTTGTTAAGAAGTCAGTCATTTGTGGACTAAGAACGATCCTATTCTATTCAACCACCCTCATGCCTTTGGAAAGGGGTCCATGTGCTAAGTAACTACTGCATATATACCACTTCTGCGTCTGAGCACACAAAAGCAAGCAGATCAAAATTCCACACAGCATTAGTCAAGTGCTATTAGAAAGCTGAAAGAGCAAGGCAAAGCCAAAAAAGGCATCCAAGAATCAAGGCATTAACTGGCAGCAAGTCATTAGGAAGAAGCAAAGGACAGTTGGCAACTATGAAAACTCTGGCTGGAAAATTAAGGAGAAAGCAGAAGCTTTTGTGCAAAAGGAAACGTTAAGTGACCACAACTATTTACCTTCAGATTTAGGGCTAGGAGTAGACACAGGAAACTGGTATGTAGGAGAATAAGGATTTTCTTCTGCAGCAGAGACAGAACAGTGGGGGTTGGACAATAGCCACACCGAAGTGGAGGAAACATATCACTTCCCAACTTTCTACCATCATTCTGAGGTTGCAGCCTGCTTTCATTATAGGAATACATCATACTCTCAAGACAGAGTAATGGGTTAGGAAGTATTCTGCCTTCGTACACGTCACACAAAGAGGCACACTGAGTTTCATTCTGTATCCAATCATGCTAAAATTAACATCAGACATTCTACTAGTAGAATACTAGTGTGGTAGAGAAAAGTACGGTCAAACGAAACACGGAACAACAGACACTCCAACCAAGCTTATGGTACCTTCAACTTGGGGCTGGATATCAGGAAGTTCAGGGAATTTGTAGGTAGGGCAATAAGGGTTTTCTTCAGGAGGGTCTGTGCAGAAAGAGCACATTTTGGGGAAAGAACAGAGAGGAGAGATATAAAGGGACAGATGGACATATGAGCAAGCACTTCCTCACAGAGAGATGCTGAGAACAGCATTTAAGCCGATGTCCCACAAAAGTGCAAGTAACATACGTTCACCATTATGCTGCACACCTAGGCCAATGATAAACACAGCACCAACTCTTTCTTTCTTTTTCTTCTTTTAACCACAATTCTAAGGTGGCACATCTTATTTCTCCATCATGTCCCAGCAAATGTGCTGCAACAGCCTGGCTGCTGAGATAGAAGGAAAGCAGGAGTGCACAGTGGCCGTGGTGAGATTGATGAGAAGGAGAAGGGGCTGGTGAAGCTGAAACCAGTTCTCTGAAGAGAAGAAGAGACTAGAGGTCCAGTTCATAAACATCACCTGCCCACTTCTCAACTTTATGTAACAAAAAGGAACTGTAATGCCCAGCAGCCTCTGGCCTCACACCCATGGAAAATGTCACCCTTAGCCAACGACAGAGGACCATGAGACAAGGAGATCATGACTGTCCTTTAACCTCACAATGTTCAACAAGACCTATTGCACAAACAGGAACTTTATTGACACAAAAAGGTTGAAACAGATGCACCAGAGAGCAAATGCCACCAGATGCCACTGTACGTATTCTCACAAGTTGCTCAGTCTTTAGAGAAAATGTTTGAAATCCCCTTGTGTAATTTCACACTGCTCATCAAGGTTGACATCATTGGCTGTAGCCATACCACCACTATTTTTGGAAAATAAGAAGTTCTTAGAGCATCACCCCAGGTTTCAGAGATCTCTAGGTATCCCCTTCATCCAGGGGCTGCCCTTGGGAGCTGTGGAAGGTGATGGGGAATGGTTTAAAGCTGGAAAAATCATTACTGCTAGTCCCAGTAACAAAGACTTTCCATCTTTAAATAATTCATTCTCTCCTGTGGCTCCCAAAGGCTGCCCCTGACAAGGAAGATCCTTAGGGATCCCTGAAACTTTGGGTGGAGGGTGCCCTAGGAACTTTTTATTTCCCAGAAATTGCAGCTGCATAGCCATGGCTGATGATACGAACCTTGTTGTGTGGTATAAAGTTATGCAAGAGGATTTCAATCAATATGATGCTTCTGATCTATCCCAATAAATACGCAGTGTATGAACCAAACTGCATGCATAAATATAAGCATTCAACATGTGTGGTTTTTAGTTTTTAAATTGAAGCCAGAGACATGGATTAGGATTAAGGCCATCATGCAGAGGTTTAACCTTTAAAACAGAGCAGGCCCAAGGTATTGTTGTGCATGAGGTGTAGGAAAAGACTGTCACCCACATTCTTTCAGCACATTGGCTACTGAACTGTCAATACTAGGGAAGGAACAACTGGAGGTCAACAGGGCAGGCTGTTTAGAACCCCTTGTTGTGGTCTCCAAAGGAAGCAATGGTCAGAGGCTGCCACCTCTGCACCTTCCACACCAATTTCACACCTTTTAGCTGAAGCAAACACCTCTCTCTGCCTTATAGAAAAGCCAAGTCTTGTCTAATCACCGCCCATCACACAGTCCATATGAAAATGGCTTCTTCACCACATGCTATTAGTCCTTGGAAGATAACTTCAATTGGCACCAATGAAAGCTTCCCTTTAAGGGCTAAAGACAACTTTTTTGGGAGCGGAATTTACTTCAGGACTGTGGCATGGCAGACAAGATGCAATACCCTCCCCTCCACTCATTCCAAGATCCTTATCCTTACTGTGTATTCTGGAACTATTTAACTACAAAAACAATATATACTACATTGCACACATCTCATTTCATGTGTAATTCGTCCTTAATGTTTATCTAGATTTTCTCTTGAAATTTGGAAACTTGGACAATGTTTAAAAACATTCACTGGGGTTCTTTAACCCAAATGATTTCAGAAAAAAAGGAGGCAACTTAATATTACCTTTCGTCAGTCTGTGGATTTGTTTGAACATTGTCTTATACCAGTCCTTCGAGCGGTCTGTGTTCTAATCAAAGAAGAAAAATAACAAAACAATTGTCTGAGTTTACAGGGGTTAAAAAGTCGGCTTAGTTTAAGATGAATTATACAGGCAATTCCTATGAATTATAATGACGAGTTAGTATGGTCCCAGGATCAACATGCTGAAGCTAAGCAGTTCTGGATTTGTCCTTTTCCTGGATGGTAAACCACCTAGCAACTTGCGTGTATGACTCCTTGTATCCCACAGTCAGAAGATATAAATGTTCTAAACATTCATATGTTATAATGTTATATGTTAAATGTTATACCAGCCTTCCTTGGAGAACTCAGAAGCAAGAACAGCTGGGATCCGGCTATAATTCATCTGTGCCAGAATATTTTGAAGGGGTGTTTTGGACTCCCTCTGTTCCCCAGCTTACTGTGGCGTTTGAACACAGTCAGTATTCCACATTATCTCGCTATCATACCGTTCAATGAAGCATGTGCAACACTAGCATAGCATTACTTCAGGACTAAGATTCAAAATAATGCATACTCTGAAATTCACTGAAATGAAATGACCATAACTGGATTCCTGCAATACCATAATATTTTTATTTTCCTTACCCTTAGTGGAATGCCTATGTCATCTGATAAGGAATCAGCCATGTCCTCTGTACTCTTAATAACTTTACTTTGTTCTTCTGTTGATTGTTTTTCACTTTGGTTGATCTTTTCTTGCATAGACATGTAATCTACTTTATCAACAGGTGGTGCATCTGGCACTGGCTCTGTAGATAAACGAAGTACATTTGTTATTTTGACTTCTACCATTATTGCAGAATACCCAGCACCCATCACTCCAAAACCTTGGTGAAACACAGATGAGTCTGAGACTTTTCAACAGTGTAATTTACAATATGAATGAATAAATGAGGGATTTTAGATCAAGAAACAACTCAGATATATATATATATCTTTTAAGTGTTTGATATTTCTTCATTGATCCATAAGCCAGCCTATGTCTTGGCCCTCAAAAGTACCACATAGGTCTAGCCAGGGATTCATAGCTTTTTAGTTATGTTTTAACACAAAGTGACATTTTAGTACAAAACATACAGCTGATATTTTAACCTCCACCTCTGACAAGTTATCCTAAAGGATTTCAGGAGTGAAAAGGGTGCAGGGTATTATAACTTGCCTCATCAAAGATTTGCCAAGTAGCAGTAATTCTGGTATCACAGCACAGCATGCACTGGAGAAAGACAGAGGACCAGTTACTAAAACCATGCACACAGTTGCAATACCCAAAGCCAACCGGAACTCTGTGGTTCTGAATGGAATAATTATAGTGCAGGACAAGGCTCATGCAGAAGGAGCCAGCATCAGTCAGAGAATACCCTGAGCAAATCCACTTTAGAGCCACTAAGAATTTTAATAGTCAAAATGTCTCTCTGTATTGCCTTGGGAAAACAAGGGCATTCCATTCAAATCAGATCATGTATGGGCACCAACGTTGGGGGACAAAGGTAGTCCTGGGACAATTTTTTCTTCTGGAAAAACAAGAACAACATGTTCTTATTTTATGTCACAATTGTCAAAAACATTACCTATTGCAGGGATCACAACATGTTTTTAAGAGCCAATTAAAAACCTGGCTCTTCAGGCAGGCCTTCCCTCCTGTCAATACTTGACTTTATTCTTATTCTAATTTTCTGTTTTCCCATCTTGAGCATTACTAACATTATTGTTTTGAATTGTTTTAACTGTTTTAGTTTATAATGTATAATGGAACCTGATCTGAGCAGACTTTGTCTAAAAGGGGGGATAGAAATTTAATGAATGAATGAATGAATGAATGAATGAATGAATGAATGAATGAATGAATGAATGAATGAATGAATGATATAAGGATGAGGCACTGTTCTGCAGAGGAAATATTTAAATATTAGACACTAAGGAGAACTTTCAGGATAAGCCAAAGAGGTACAAAAGTGGTGGATTCCACATAGCTCTAAAGGGGTGAGATTGCAGCCACTCAGCCTAAAGGGATTGAAAAACAGGTTTTCAATTGACCTCTGTGAGAAACCTGTCACAAACTGGAGGGACAAGGGTATAGTACTTTCCAAGTAACCCAAAGGGATGAGGCTGTTTATTAGGCTTATAGAAAGAGAAGAAGGGCTATAAATGAGTGGGCTCATACTAAAGGCATTTGGAGAAGTAGACCATATATGGGTATTTACATTATGATACCAGAAGCCCTTGTGCCAAACTCAAAGGAGCTGAAGAGTTTAGTGCTAAATGAAAGCATAAGATATAGTGGACATATTGAAAATGTAGTGACAAGCTGTAGTGGGGTACCACCCTGTGGGGCGGTCTGCATGATGAACAAGTAGGCCAAGCAAGGCAACCCCTCTCTCCCTTGATGGCCTTATCTTGTCTGTTGCAGGAAAACTGGATAAAGGAAAGTTCATCTTCAGAAGTGTGTTTCTTCAGTAGTAATCTGGAGCTACCAGCGGTCAGCGTGCACATGAGACGGAACTAATTAGGAAGGGAGAAACTCACATGAAGTGTAAAGAGCTTCAAAAGTCTCTTTCCAAACTTGGTGGATGGACAACAAAATGGCATATGAGACTGAGAATAAAGTATATGTAAAACTATGCATTTTAGAATGACTGATTAACGGAGGCGGGCACAGAACACTGGTGCCTTCTAGTCTGGTATGTGGATGTATCCAAAGTGAGTCCCTGATCGGAAGGCAAAAGGAGGACAGAAGCTGGTATGAGGTCTTCCCCTGATGTGTGACAGCAGGAGACAGCTTTTTTGAACAAATAACTTTGATCCTATCTTTTCTAATATTCTCCTGACTGAAATTATGGGGGGGGGCATCTTTTGGTCCAAGCAAGGGTTACCTTAGACCAGAATTCTGATCTGGGATACTCCTGTGCAAGTCTAGAGCCAACTACGAGTTACAGCTATAAGGAAAACTGCTACAGGTAAATTTATGTGCTGCCGGTAGACTTAAGAATTTCTAAGAATTTTTTAGAAAGCGAGGAAGCATAATCTTACTTTAAGAGCACTGACAAAAATGTTGACATAAGCCTTTTTAAGGGTGGACAAAGATCCAACTGCAAGGGGTTTAGAAGCTCTCCATACCTTCCTTCCTATGATTTTTTTCCCTCCTCCAGAAAAATGGATTACATCTCAATGGCAACAAGAGTGATCATTATCTCTAGTGCTGTTGTTGTTTCAATTTGTATGACACCTCACAATGATAAAGCCCTCTCTTGGCGGTTTACAACGTAATCATGCAAACAACAACTTTGTGTTTTTAGTGGGTGACCAGGTTCTTCCGGTTTCAACAGAAGTAAGAATAATCATGTTGGCTTTAGGATCAGTCCTGGTGCCAGAATCTTTTAAAAAGCTAAATTAGCCCAATTTAGTCAACATCAGGTGGACCATGAGAGCCAGGGTGTCCTTAGCACGCTTGCTTAACTGGTCCTAAGATTTACAGAAGAGAAGAAGCCTAAGAAGAGGAACCGTTTCTAAACTGTTGCAAAAGTGGATTGGCTGAAATTCCATTTGCCTTGATTATGTGGTTGGCCAATATGTGGGGAAAAAAATCTTATCAGTGAAGACTAAAAAGGTGGCTTCCACTTGTTTTAAGAGAGTACCTGTTTTCCACTTTTAATGAAAGAAAATTAGAAGTTTCAGCACATGTGGAGAGAGGGGACCAACCAGAAGGGCTTTGCCTGATTTAAAAAAAATGGGATGGGGGATTTTTAAAGAGAAAAAAAAAATACTGCTTTTTTCCAAAGGCCTTTTCAATAATATAGAATTCATTGTTCTTTGCTACCATCTGGTGGCTTGTAAGAGATACACTTTCGATTTCCACAGGATAAGCAAAGGAATGGCTGGAGCATTTCGGCACAAAGTGCCTGAGTGTGTGTGTGTTGCCTTTTTTTTTTTTTTAATTGAATCTGGTTGTCTGCCCCAAAAGTGGAGGAAGCCTTGGTATCCCCTAGAGGTGCTCCTATGCAGAGGCTTCTGCGGGTGGGCTCCCAAGCAATGGATGATGAGGGATGCATGTGCTGGGGAGAATTCATTTTACAGGAGTTTCTTTGATTGCTTGTGCTAACTGTTCTGGGGCTTTTAGGGTGGACCCTTTCCCCCCGCCCGTCTCATAGCCCTGATCCATCTTGTAGGTGTAAACTGGAGTTGCATCCCTGTTGCCATAAAGAAGAACAAAGACAAAAGAAAAGGTGGAAAGTTCAATGAAAGGACTTAAAAGAGAGAGAACCTCTGAAAATAGAAGGAAGAAAAGGAGTACAAGGAATTCTCCTTAAAGAAAAGGGGGGAGGGAGACCTAAAAAAAAACAAAGGGAAAAGGGAGGGACAGGTGTGGGAGCATGTGGGATTTCCATTTTCTTCTCCTGATAGAAGGCAGGTAAGAATAATGTAATATATAATTAGAAGGCAAATGTGGATGATACTTTCCTTAGATCACTAAAGTCAGAAAAATAAGCTAGCTTTCAACTCTCTACAAGACTAGTACAGAATCAAAATCTAGTTTATATCTGTGACTTTTTAGTGGTCTGATATAAGTATCACCTGCCCTTGCCTTTGGGATTATGTACCGGGACCACCAACCTTTCTTTTTCCATTTTTGTTAGTAGAGTATAATCAGAATTCTTGGTACAGTACAAAAAAACGAAGTCACTTGATTACCTGCCTTCTGAGCAGAGTGGATCCTCATAAAACAGACATATATCTTTATGTAACAGATCAATTGATTTAGGGTGCTCACTACCACAGGATATTGTGATGGCTGTTCGCTTGGATGGTCTTGAAAGGGAATCAGTACATGAAAATAAATGTCCCTGTATTTTAATTCACAAACACCAAATTGATATTTATAGGAATATACATAAAGACACAGTGCTTTGTTCCAGCTGAACAGCCATTCCTGGAAGTTGGTTGAGGCCAATGTCACATATGAGTGTCTGGGTTTAAATGTGTGTACAAATTAATGGACAGAATTGATAAAGAAGGTATGCTGTATGGCTATGTGGGACTTTTTTCAGTGGCAGGCCTTGAAGGATCCATCAAACATATCTATTATTATTTATTTGTTACCATAAGTTATAGTCTTCTTTTCTCTATACACCTATCAGAATCCCTTCTGGTCTTATGAGGGATAGTATAAACCCCTTCATAGGGATTGGATTGAATATAATTTTCCCGCCCTTTCAGTTGTAGCTCTTATTTGTGGATTCACTAAAGATATTCTATCATATAAAAAACCGGCGCCTTCCTCAGCAGCAAGGGACAACAGCAGGGAAAGAAGTGGCGGTGTTCTCTAGGCATCATACCTGCGAGGCTACTAAGCTTTTTTTGCTGTTCTGTGAGAGAGGAGAAAACAATAAACAAATGAGGCCCACAACTCTTACAGTAATATGACAGGCACATGCTGAATACAGTGTCAAGTGCTTATGCAACTCCTACAATCCTACACCCATCATGATTCCACAAATGTTCAGCCAAGCACCTTTCAAGACAGCAGTGATGAACAGAGGTCTTAAATCATTAACATAGCGAGTCTGTAATGTGTGTGGATGTGTGTGTTAGACAATTTAAAATGCAGGCAAGAATTCTCAGATAATACAATATACAATGTTCAGGAAGTAGCAATATCAAAGCTTGTAATATTTCTAACTAGTGATATATACAATATACAATGTTCAGGAAGTAGCAAAGCTTGTAATATTTCTAACCAGTGATACAGTATCACCATTTTCAATAAGCTTCAAACTATTTAAACTGCTTCTCGGACACTATCTAGTAATCTGTTACATCTCTTCAAGTTAAATCAATGTGATTAGCCCTTTAACGTATATGGGAGGAGAGGCAGAGAAAGAAAATGCCTTTTCTAAGGCTATTTAGTGAGTTAACAAGGGAAATACAACATTCAGATTGGAACATCTGGTACTCCTTGTGAAGGTTGCGTCTAGTTTGGGTGATGTTCTGTGGCACCCAAGACTGGCCTGTACCCTTCCCACCACCTACAAAAAGCAATCGCCATGCAACCTGGATTCCAACACTAGGTCAGGCATTCAGAATTGTACCCACCATGTTTAACTTTGCTACCCTATCAATTAAGTTTCAGTCCCATGAGAGAGGTATAATATCTCTGCACAAACTAATCACAGGTGAGCAAAATCAGCAACTGAGGGCATTTCTATAGCAACAAAGATACAGTAAATCCATAGTTGGCCCATACATATTAAACATGGTGCCTATGACAGATGCAATTATGAATACAAACACCACAGGCCTCACCTCTTCGTCTCCAGTTAATTGCAAAAACTAGATTGGAGCACACTTACGTACCATTACCCATGGTCTCACATTTTTCTGAGACACTTCTAATATAAACCTCTCCTACCCAATTCTTCAACTTTCTGCCCCTATCCAGTACTAAGAACTGTGCTTTTTGAAGAAAGGTGAAAAGTGTCCCGAGTTCTCTGTGTTTAGAAAGCATGTGTTCATACTCCATTCAGTGAGAGTGCTAAACCCACCTAATGATTTTGGAGAAATGTCAAATCAAAGAGAAATTGTAACAATCAAGAAGCAGAGAGGAGAAAACATATACCAAACATGTTGTTGCTGCTATGTGCTTTCAAGTTGCTCATGACTTATGGTGACCCTATGAATTAGTGACCTCCAAAACGTCCTATCACCAACAGCTCAATACTCCTTAGAAATTGTGTTCTATCTGCGTGTTCTATGAGACAAAAAACATCTGATGTGCTGCTGAGCTTAGTTATGCTACAATGTCAATCCTATCCAAAGGCTAGCAATTCTAGCAGCATCTACTGAAACACATGAAAAATATGTTATGCCTTGTGCCTCTGGCCACATATCAGGCCTTAAAATGACACAGCAGAGCCAATAGACCATGCAAGTCATTCATCACAAGAGACTCCCCCAAAACAGAACAATATGATAAAGAAACAGAGAGTAGGAACATGCCTCACTCCAATCACTATCTAAAGGAGCATCCAAATCACATTGCACCTAATAGCATTGATGCCCTCAGGCTTAAGGCCTTGTGAATACCCTTAACTTATTATGACTCTTCCTAGGCAAAAGGTGGATTAAAAATAATAACAAAAAACTAACCTACCCTACATCAGTTGGCACAGACCTGAAGACCCATAAAAAGAACAGGAAGAAGCAAAAAGAGAAGAAAGGGGGCAAGTTGGAAACCAAGAAAAACCAAATGGTTGGTGGGAACAAAAACAAAAAACTGAACAAGAAGTGATTGTGGGGGAGGAAAAATGTGTTATGAACATCATACACCTTGCTCCTCAGACACTTCAGAAATTCAGTGTGATCAGACCAATCTCAAAAGGAAAGGAAAGTAGAAGAAATAAGAATGAAATGAAAATGTATACACCAATCTCCCCAGACACATATAAATTCCAAATTTTCAAGCTCCCAACAAAAATAATAGCTACTCAGAAAGCAACTTGGGCTATCTACATAATAATGGCTCAAATACGGTAGGACGTCACAACTAGAGTAGGCCCACTGAATCAATTGAACTTACAGAGGAGTTGATACACTAAATCTCCACTTATTCAATGGGCCTACTCTAGTTGTAACTTTTTCAATCAATACATAATTATTGGCCATAGCATCTGGACAACAGCAAGGGTGATATATAAGAAAACCTAATAATTAGGATGATGATAGAAAGATTTAAAAACCCATTGTGTATAAATAACATGATACATGGCCACACCAAAGACACAACGATCTCCCCTATAATAATAACTCAGACCTATTTCAATGATACAGAGACAGACTGACTGTCATGGCTTCCACACAGAATAAGACTGTTTTCAGAGAGATGTTGGTGATCAGTGACAGTCTATGACAGCTCCACCATCCTTTCATGTGGCAAAACAGGAGTAAGGCAAGATAACATGAGGAAGAAAGGCACTATTCTTCTACTCAGTAGAATCTACTGGATCATCCCATGGCCAGTCTAGTCCCAAAACAAATGTGATGATTGAGACCCTTAAAAGCAGAGGAACCTGAGTACTGAAGTGCAGACAGAAAATGGTTGGAAATCTCAGGGATACTCCATGTTGCACACATAGTCCATTTGACAAGCACTCTTCGGTATAACCAGGGAAGATAATGCATTTGGATCTCATTCAGTTCCTGATGCAATTCCATCTTCTCCTACAGGCTTCTTGACAAGTCTTCCTTCAAAGGGGAGGACAGTTGTTTGACTATGAAGATCCTGGAGTGTTCAGTGCTCCTTACTGGTGGAATGGAGGAGTGGCGAGCTGTTTCATTCTAGATTCAACAGTAGTCAGGCTAAGTCGAAAATCTCCTTCAGTAGAGAACCCACACAATGTGAATATGATTACAGTGAAACCTACTCTCTAAATCTAAAAGTGTTACACACAGAGTGGCGTTATCCACCTGCAAAGCCTTCAACACTTTTGACATCTCAGAACCCTCATCTTCTTACATGGACACTGCGTTCCATCTCTCCCATAGGAAGCTGGAGTTGATTCACTGACTCTTGAAATAAATAATTACCAGTGCCAGTTTACAATGAGGACAATTTCCTTAAAGACTGCAGGCAAAAAAAAAAAAAGATAAAACCTTGCCTGGTCATTTCTCCATAGTAAAGTCTGGGTCTGGGGTCTGTTCCTGATTGTTCTGTGCTGAGCTCCTTTGGTCTTTGTGTTTCCCAACATACTTGGAGGAGCCCTCAGAGGCTGAGGGAAAAGCATAGTAGGAAGCGCCAAATGGTGTGCCAAAGCCCCAATCCACAGAGGCTGAATACAGTGCTTAAATGAAATGAAAAATCCTCACAAATTCACAACTCAAAATATGCATTCCAAATACATATGCAGAGAATAGTCTCTGAGGATCCATAAGATCAGCTAAGAAAGGCAGATTAGACTGGTCAGATTGGTGATTTTGTACTTCCCTTCTACCCATCCCACCATCCTGGCTAGAAGTCTGAGACAACACCTTGGTTTCCTCAGTGCTACTTCCCCTTCAGTTCTGGTTTGCCTCTACAGAGAAGAGATATCCATTAAAGAAGTTTGCCTCTACAGAGAAGAGATATCCATTGAAGAAATAAGCCAAGCTGAGACACCCAAAGCAAAACCTAGTCTCTCTGCAGCCCAGTTCCACCATTCTCACATAACTAGTGCCATCCACACAGACCGTTGCTTCAGTCTGGAGACCAGAACGTCCTTCACTTTGCCTTACTACCTCTGGCATTGTGAAGACAGAGCGCTATTTACCCATTCCACCAATGCTAGTCAGATCGTAATCCGAGAGGTACATCGAGAAAAGGGGAGTGTTCCATTCTCTCAACACAGCTGTTCTTGCTGAAAAAGGCATCACAGAATCTGAGGCCCATTGCTGCCAGGAGTCAAAGGAAGTACAACCCTTCTCCACTCTTGCTGCATGGTTAGGCTACTCTCAGGGAACGACAGGATTCCTTCCCCATTTCACCCCATCTTCATCATGGCAATTACCCAGTCACATATAATGACTGTAGCAAAAATGTTAAGCTAGAAAAAGAAATGCATCTGCAGGTTTCTGTCCTTACCTCTGTTGTGCTGCAAAAGGACAATGGTGGGATTGACGATAGTGGTGGAAGGGTAAGCAGAGGAAGGCTTGCTGGTCACTGTTAAGGAGCCATAGCAATCAGTGCTGCCGCTGGTTTTGGGGGCTTCATGTAGCAGAGGGCAGGGATCCTGAAACACATTACGTGCACATACCATTATTGCCTAAAGGTCATGACGTATCATCGGCCAACTGCTTTGCAATTAAAAATAAACAAAACCAGAGAAAAGTTTAGTATTAATGCACAAGCATAAGAGACGTTGCTCTGAGGCAGCGGTTTTATCATTTGAATTAGCACACACAGAGGAAAGGCCGAGTAATGACATTCCTTTTTGTTCGAGATTATTCAAGCCAGAAGCCGTGCCACTGGACAAAGTTATAAAACACATAAGACACATCTGATGGCAAGGTTCGAGATTATTCAAGCCAGAAGCCGTGCCAGAAGCTGGACAAAGTTATAAAACACATAAGTCACATCTGATGGCAAGGTATTCCGAGAGAGAGAGAGAGAGAGAGAGAGAGAGAGAGAGAGAGAGAGAGAGAGGTAATTGGGTGCACACACTCCTTTCTAAAAAGAGGTATTCCTTTCAAAGTAATATTCAAGCATGCAAAACTCATGCACTTCTGAATGAAATCTAATTAATCGCCAGTCAAGAAGCACTGTCCCTTGCAAGCTGTGAGACTGCACAATGTCAGTGAAATCACAATTATGTAAAGAATATGAGGGGACCAATAAAGAGGGAAAAGAAAGAGGAAGGCACAAGAGAGTTTCACACAGACTGATCTTGGTTTTGTTTGTTGGGACTCCCTGATCAACTTTTACTTTAATAAGGGAGGCTTGATGTGGTTTCCAAGATTGATTTGGGTTCCTTATTTTATAGTTTTGCAAGTAGCTGCTGTGTTCTCATCTGCACTGACATTCAAAGTATTCTGTAACATCCAACAAGTCATATATGGGTAGAGTCAACTGCTCTCTAAACCAATGAGTCTCAGATGCCTTAGCTTTTGCTCCAAGTGAGAAAGAAAGTGCAAGGTTTCGTTAATGATCCATGGATCGAAATGCCGTGTTCAATCTGAATTCAGACCTGACTTCAGCACTGAAGTGACTTTATTCACCTTGAGAGATAACAATGCCACAAAGGAGAGTGGGTTGTCATCCTGATCTTTATCTCGAATGTCTTGTGAGCTTTCAACACCATTGACCATGGCATGATCCTGGTCTGAATGGGAAATGATGGCACAATGCACTGGTGATTTCACTATCACCTAACAGGTCAATTCCAGAAGGTGGTGCTGGGAGACTATAGAATTTGTGCTATGGGTTTCCCACAGGGCTCAATCGTATTCCTTGTGCTCTATATAAAGCTAATTTGGAAAGAAGTGTCACCACTATTCTGTAACATCCAACTCTTTCTTGGAGTTAGATATAGTGGTACTTGAACAGGTGCTTGGGATCAGTTCGGACGAGGGCTTCTAAAATAAAAGTTCATAAAGACAAGATGGCTAGTAAACAATCTGATGAGGTGTGGTTCAGTGTCCTCTTCATGGAGATGCACCAATTTATAAAAATTAGGCTTCAAGTCCTTGAGGCTGTTATGTTAATAGCATCTTCTTTTGGATGCTCAAAAATGGGCAATCCTGTGCATCTTGAAAAAGATTAATAAATGTATTTTGGTGTAAGTTTTCATAGACTGCAGTCCATTTCATCAAAGTGTTACACTGAGCTACAAGGGTTTCCACACAAACACACACACGCAAGGGGGGGAGGGACAAAATGCAAAAAAAAAAAAAAAAAAGAGAGAGAGAGAGAGCTCTCATTAACAGTGTCTATTCATAAAACAGTTGGATGGTAACACAGACAACCTTGCATTCGTGAACAGTTGAACACAAGCAAATGCCTCTGTCTCTTCAAAAAACAGAGGATAGGAGCTAAACCTCTCACTTGTCTTGAAGTGCCCATTCTAGAATAAATGAACTTCCAGGATGATTTGCAACATTAAACAGATTAAACTGTAATTCACGTGGAAGTCACAGTGCAATATGTCATGTCTTGTTATTCATCTGAGGTTGTATTTACCTAATTTTCAGACATGCCGAGGACCAGATGATTTTTATTATGTCCTGATACCAATATAGCTACCCTTCTAAGTATTACTTAAATGCTGAAGTAGTACTCTTGGCATTAATTGCCTTTAATAATAGTAGGCTCTTGGGCTACTTCTGATTCCATCTGCCATGATTATCCGTGCCCTAGAATTAAAATCCAAGCTTAACTATTACAATGTGTAAGCAAGGCAGCCTTTAAAGACTTTAAGGACTTTGGTTGATTTTAGCTCTGCTCACACTTGCGGTTGCTAACCTATGGAACATTTGTGATCAGAATGGCTCAGGGACCTCCCTATAAAATACCTGTCTCTGATTAGGGGCACTTTTTCCAGATCCCACCTGTGCTGAGGTCAGTTGGGTGGCCAGAAAGGGACTGAGCTTACACAGGAGTAAGCACCTTATCTTTGTAATGCTGTCCTCAAATTTGTATGCCTGGAATCTACTCATTTTGATTGCTGAGCACCACATAAAATCCAACAAACTCATATGGTCCATATACAAAATCTACAAACAAGGATAATATTTTTACCAGAGCACTTAAACACCCCAAACTAGGCAAGCTTTTGATTCCTGCAGAACTATTTTCTGCAACTATCTTTCTGCTATTTTGGACACTGCAGAACTTGTGGGTAGGGAGGAAAAAAGTCAAAAATCATCCTGAGAAGATGCAGACACTTTAGAATATGTAGTTAAAGTACAATCACAATTTGAACTATGCAAATTTGTAAAACTAGCTGGCATTGTGCTGGTATCAGATTTAAAATTAGAGGATGTAAAGTTAATTGTCTTCCTCTAGTTCCACAGATTTGGAAAATGATACATACATACCTTAGGACCCATACCTTTAACTCAATTTTTTTGTTTTTGTTTTTTTAACTGATGGTTACTTTTAGAGATGGAGTGTTCAATAATCTGCTTTTCTAGAGTTTTAACTATTTGGTGCTCATCCACTCTTTTAAAATGGCTGAAATACAGCAAAAAGTTGGGCCTAGGCCCATTGAGTCAGTGTTGCACCTAGACCCTTTGAGCCAACTCTTCTCTAAGTCCCATTGATTCAATGGGTCTACTCTAACTGTGACTTACTACTGAATTTTAGTAATTATTTTATGCTGTCTTACTAATTTAGTTTGCTGTTTTCTTATTTTCTGGTTTTATGATGGACACTCCGAGGGTGACAGACCCTCCTTCATAGGAATTTTTCAAACAGAGGTTAGATGGCCACCTGTCAGAAATACTTCAGCTGCACATTTCCTGCTTCAAGGGGTTGGACACAATGATCCTATACTAAGAAACAAACATGCAAGCAAATAAATGTCAATGCAGTCTGATTCAGGCTCGAAGTCCAACCCACAGAGAAATATGAACACAGTTCGTTTTGTTGTTTCTTGTTAAATGTTGTTTAATATAGACCTATAGTTTTAAGTGGAAAAGCAGGAGGTTCGGTAACCAGTTCAGTGACAGATTTTTCATGCTAAAGCATGATTTAGTAAAGCCCAACTTCCAAGGATGAGTAAACCAACAGAAAAATAATTCCAAAAGGGACCTTTCGTACAAACTCTGGACAGTTATACAGTTTTGTGATAAACTATCCATAAAGTTGTGGGCTACATATCAAGAGTGGTTAAAATAATGCTACATTACAATGCACAGAATTTAAATGCTTCGATATATTGCCTGGAGTTTGGCCAACATTTTAAGAAGGAAAGTTGATAGATATAACACACTGGTTCCTAGACCATTTGCTTAAGTATCAGATGATGAACTGGATACATACTGTAAATCACACTACTTGTTAACTCTATTATCATATTCCTTAATTGTTTCCTTTGAAATTGGCACTTGTATCCTGAACAATATGGTCTCATATTTCCAAATAGTCTGGAAGAACCATAAGGAATATCCACCGGCAGATACTGCCTATGTCAACTCTGTATTCTTAACCAAAGTACTAGAGCTGATTTTCACATTATACCTTTTTAGCTTTTACTGTACGATTACTAAATGTGTGTGCATATTCTATAATGCTACAATGGTGGATGTGCATTCAAGCACATGGGTGTGGAGTGGAAAATATGAAGCTATAACAAAGGAAGCAGTTCCAAGTAATAAAAGAAAAATCAGCAGAACACATAACATTGTATATGCTAAGGTAGGGATGGAAGATACTCTAGCTTTAGGAGGTTGCAATGGACCCTTCCACATATGCTAGAGTACACAGGCGGCTACAATTCAGTATTATTACTTGCTGCTGTGGCTGTCAAATATACCGCTGCCAATACACTTTGCATGGGAATTTAATGACAAACATGGCAGCTCTCTCTTGTGCTGCAGAACACTATAGCATTCTCTTACATATGAAAACCCTGGAAAACTACAGATCAGTAAGTTCACTTCTTATCCTTAAAGCAACAGGAAGGGAAAACAGGAAGAAGCCTGTTGCGATTTTGATAGAACGGATGGTGCTGACAGCAGTCATCACTGGTTCTGCAGCAGGAGGAAATGAGGGGTGGAGGTAAAACAGTACGCCTCACATGACCCAAGGGCCATAAATCATCTATCCCTGATGTAAGAAACCTGTCTACCACAGGATATTGTTTATAGTCAAAGACACAGTGTTTTCAGATAGGAAAGAAGAAGGGACAAGGCAGAAATGATACAGATATTACATCACAAGCAGTTTTCAGACACTGCCATGCTAGTCTGTTTCAGCATGAATGATGAAAGCAGAAGAAAAAAATGAAAGTAAAAGTATTGTGACACTTTAAAGACCAACAGATGTATTTCAAGGAGAGTTTTTGTGGATTATAATCCACCACCATCCTTGGGAAAATAAACTGTAACCCATAAAAACTGACACTAAAATGAGTCTATTAGTTTTTAAACTGCTACAGAACATCTGTTCTTATTTTTGTTTTATTTTTGTTATGTACACAGTTGAGGAATCCCTAAGTCAGAGGAGTCAAGGAATACACATGCAGCGTAACAGAACATAAACAAGGTTTCAGGTATCATGCTGCTGGCTAGAAGTATGTTGGCTCAGAGTTTAGTACGCTAGTAAGAAACAACGTTTTAATTTTGGAGCACAAATTTAGCAAAGCCATCAGGATGGCATGTGGCAAGGCTTACTGTGCGCAAGATCATTCCTGTGCTCTCAGAATCCAAGGCACGGTTTGAGACTTCTGTGACTGGAGGGATCAGCGGAGGAGGAGGTGGTGATAGTGAAGTCATTTTCAAGTGAACAGGGGACACAGTCTCAGACGAAGAGGATGGCTGGTTAGGGTTGGAATCTTTCTGAAGGTGAGGGGGAATGAAATCGTCTAGTGTTGGGAGGGTCAGAAGGGAGCCCGTAGAAGTGCCGTCAGGCATTTTTGAGCTTTGCCCAAAAGGTAGGAGCGGCAATGGTGATGTGCTTGAGCTGGCTTCTTGCCCTCTGTCTGTATAAATCTGTTGGAATGGCACTACTATAACCTCATTTTGGGGCTTGGTGGTGGTGGCAGAATAAGTGGCATCCTGTGGGAGATAAGGCGGCATTATACAATGGGGGAAACCTTGACAATAATAGTGGAAATGTGCAGTGACATGCAGAGGCAATACCCTAACACAACAGCACTTGCTCAGCTGCGCTCTGGGTTATACAAAAATCATTCACACAACTGTGACATTTTGCCCCATCCCCCACAACCTGTCATCAACAGCTGACAGAGAAAACACTCTTAAATTAATTACAATAATTTATCCTCACTTGAGGGCACCTTTGTTCCAACTGTTATGCTTAACATTATTATGAAACAGAAATCATTCATGTAACATGACAGATCCCAACTTCTCCAATCACTGTTTCTGGTTTGCAGTTACAAACACAAACACAAACACAAACACAAACACAAACACAAACACACACACACACACACACACACACACACACACACACACACCTGCACCCAGATATGAGGGGGAAAGTAAAAAAATCAGTTTACAGAAAAAGGAGGTTCAATATACTAGAATATAACACAATCAAAAACTTTAGGTGGGAGAAACCACAGTTCTTAGATGTAGGGGGGAACAGGCAATAGACATATTAGCCCGGTGGAAAGGAGGAAAAAAGAAAGAAAGCAAGATAATGACCAAAAACTATGTACCCTGTCACGTCCCTTTTTCTTGCATAGGTGCTGCTGCTGCTGCTGCTGCTGCGTAACATCAGGCTCTTTCCTCATCCTGTTCTCACTGCCAACCTTATGTAGAGATTCTGTGCTGTCAATGGCCTGAGGAGTGCTGGAGGGACGACTCTCACCATGACTAACTGAATCCCTACTGAGAACAATATTAAGGAATGGCCGCGAGGGAGGAGGAGGAGGAGGAGGAGGAGGAAGTGACTTCCCAGTATCTGTTACAGTGGGGACACAGTGGATGGCTGGAGCCACAGTGACCTCAGCTCCAAAACGGGTGCCTTCCGTTTGGACATCTGCACAGGCAATGGAATTTTCAAATGAAGCCAAGCAAGTGCTGTTAGATAAACAAGCTACATATAGACGGCTGACCTTTTTCTCTGCTCTTGTTTCATGGTTAGATTTCAGTCCAGCTTTGCCACTGGGATGTGCTTCAGCAAGCTCCCGTGTGTTTCGGTGCTCAGATAATGTGTCCGGTAACAAGGAGCTACTTCCCAAAGGTGATTGCACAACATGCACCTTCTCTGCAGGTGTCGCACCAACTGACCTAGAGGAAGCTGCACTGAAGGCTGGGGGTGAAGAAGGAGGATGCTGCCTGCCCCTAACGCTGTTTGGTAAGGAGGGTGCATATGGCTTAGGTGCACTCCAGTACAGAGACTCCTTGATGGGACTGGGCTGCAGGGAGGGTTTTTTGGTGTGGGTGCGAGGACACCATGCAAAGCTCTCCTCTTTTGGACAAGAGGAATGGAGTGGAGAAGGGATCTGTCCAGTGAAGGGGACAAAATAAGTAAGTAAAAAAAAGCAGAGCCACACCATAGGAAGGAGAAGAAGAGGAGAAAGATCGATTTGGAAATTAAACTGGAGTTAACAGGAAGGAAACAAAAGTTTAATATGACATTTGAAAGTCAGCACCCAGCTCATTCACTTCTTGTTGTCCAGAAGATTTTTTTTTCAAGCAAATTCCATTTACACCTTGTCATTTTCAAATCTCATCACACTGGAGTCAATGGTATGTACCGTTAGGAGTAAACACATGATTATAGTAACTGACTGACAAACCAGGGAAACATGAGGCATGTTACGAGGTATTCTACTAGAGGCGAATATCAGAGCTGAATAACAGAGACAGACTGCAGATCAGGCTCTTATTCAATATTATCTAATCAACCAGTATCACTAGTATTGATTCTCCTCAAAAATCCAGAGGTCTTGATATGTCTGTCAAAGGAGGAAGTCCTCTAAAAGAGCATATCCATATAAATGATATAACTATAGAAGAACTGGGAAAGTCCATCCAGTAGATCTAATATCAGGATGATGGAAATTTACTATGTAATCAGACTCCTTGGAAACTCTCCTCAGAGTGAAACTTCTTTCTAGTTCTACTGAAACTAGCTGAAAGCACTGAATTGTTCAAATCCGTGTCAGTGAGCAATTTAACACTCCAATACCAAATGCACTGGCAAAAACTTCATTTGGACTGAATTTTTCATGCAACCCAAAACTGCTGCATGGTAGAGGCACAATTCATAAAACTGAAATATTGTGACCAGTGATATTCACTACACATTTAAATAGATATGGACAAAGCAATGAGAAATAACATCTTTTTTATAAGGTAGAAGAGACCAAATCTTCGACGAGTTCCTTTTTCGGGGACAATTCCCAGAATCCCCCAGGCAGCAAAGCTTACTTACCGGCCGAGAGATTTCAGGAACTGTAGCTTGAAAACTAACTTTTTCAAGCTCTGCTAAGGACATTGATGAAAGTTCTTTTAAAGCCTCACAATACTCTTGGAGACACTTCCTTCTTTTCATGTAGTTCTATACTTTTGGAAGTTATAGAGTGATATTTTAACTTGTTTCACTCATCTGCCCCTGTTTACCTACAGCTGCCATTTTGAGACATCCTGTACAGCTAAACAAATAGCACTCAAAACATTGGATTTATTGCAACAGAGATGAGGGGAAAAAAAAGATAAACCTTTCTAACAGAGTATTTTCTTGTAATTTCTGAGGCATCAGGTAGCTCAGTGAAGATCCAAACCAGGATTATTTAGGTTGGATCACACCAGAGGTATAATATTTGCCTGACCATTTGCTTTTTATGGTAATATAGAAAGATGAATATAAGGAGAGCAAGGTAGTAACAATGGTTCTGCAGAGGGGTGGGGAACCCTAGTCCAAGGTTGGAAACCCTCTGCTACCAGTGTCATATAGTTCCTGAGAAAGTCTCCAAAACTAAATTCAGCTCTAAGAATTCAGAAGTTCCAAGCAAACCCTTCACCCTGACCTCGTCCAGGATACAATTCTCAAAAGCCCCATGGAGAGAAGGAAATGACTAAATCTGAAGCATGGATATAACTCAAGAAAAACAGAGCAGAACAATGTGGATGTATGTATCAAGGAACAAAAATAAAACTGTGTCCATGCTGCAGAATGGGGTTATACTCCCAAGGAAAACTAAAGAGTTAAAGAAAAACCTTGCTTGTCCAAGGTGTTTCCAGTTAATGGATATATCTTAACTTCTAACAGATGCAAATGAGGTTCTTTGGTGAGTAACCCCCATGTTACAGACCATTAAAAAATGAGTTACTAAAACTTCTCCAGACACGAAGCACAGCTGAGTAAATGTCACAGAGGTCCCTTCGCTTTTCAGGGCTTTGACTGAAACCTATCAAGTTTTTATTGAGATACTTACGTGTGGCTTGCTCTCAGAGAGGTTTGGACGCACACTCCGATAGCCCTTGGCAGCCAGAGCAGTGGGCTGGACATCCCTATTCGAGTCAATACTAGAGAATGACCGCCAGTCATCTGCAAAATGGACAGCAGCGAATCATGACAAATGAAGTGGAATCATTTCAGTTTCTGTTTAACTGCCGAAAAGTTATTATCAAGGAAACTGTGGAAAACATAAAGCGATTACTGCTAAATACCTGTTTCTGTTTTTCCTGACTCGGCACCTGAAGCATTGGGAAAGAATGAAAAGGGGGGGGGGGGAAGAGAGAGAAAAAACATCAACTGTTACATCAGGGTAATGTGGGAACAAATCAGAACTCAGGAATGATCTAGTTCATTTTGTGCATGGAATACTTTCAGCATAGACTGCCTCATTTCCATAGAAACACGATTCCCTTTGCGGTTCCTGACCTTTGTAAACACAAGGCGATTCATTCAGAGTGATGAAGAAACAATTGTTCATTGACATTTTATTCCAGAGTCAAAAAGGCGGCCAGAGTTCTCAGCATGGAGCCCAAATGCCACAGATTGCTGGAAATGCAAGACTTCAGTATTTAAACCATGATGTAGGCTGAGAGGAAAAAATATATCTGTCCTTTATTAACCCCGCCAGTGAGATGATAGGGACAGCCACAAACAAACAAGTGCATTTAGAGGCACTAGTACAACATGTGCAATCCTTACGGCGCCGAGCCGCAAGGTGAGACAAAGTACTAGCTATTTACATGCTGAACTCACTTAACGTTGCTCTGGGATCCTAAGAATGGAGATGACAAGCAAACAGATGCTCTTTTTGAGGGCAAAGAACAAATTGTGCCTTCCCACCACAGCAGAGTTCTTAGTTAGGTTTCAGGCAAGTCCAAAAACTGTTATTTGGTCTCCTTCACACACACACACACACAATGATCCACATGAAAGGACAGTCTCCTGGCTCTGAAATGCATTCTCCTAGTCCTAACTAGGAGGGTCAGAACAATGAGCTGCTTCTGGTGACTGTGAAGGCTTTTGGAGGCGTACTTCTTTCCCCACCAAGTGAATAATCACAGCCTTCCTGATGCCAATTCAGAACTCAAATTGAGCTGCATCAGCATGTATTTTAATTTTTCAGGCCAGGAACGTTTTCTGAATTTCTCCCAGTTCATCCAGGGAAGGGCTTCTCATCTCATTTCAGGGATCATGCCTACCAAATCAAATTCCCAGACTGGGATCAATTGGAAGCATCATCTGGCATGTCATTTTAAAAGAAACTTTGTCCAGCATTCTCTCTCAGGCATTAATTTCATTCCGACCTCTTTATTAACATCTTCCATGGCATGTACAATTCCTCCTCTAACTTACAGACCAGTAGTAGGTACAACAGAAGTACAATTACAATCCATGCAATCCTAAACACAAAGAGTAGCAACTCTATGCTACTGCCCTTAGTTAGAAGAGCAACACAATTCAACTTCTCCAGGTCACTTATTAACTGAAGTGGTGAAGTTGTAAACAAAATATGTGAAAGAAACAATGGAACGTATCAGAGGACACAACTGAAAAACAGTAAGCTCCAGCCTCCCTCCCTCAACTGCAACATGTGAATATGCAAAATCCAGCTCTCCTGCTGGCCATCCTGTCTTATATCCTGGCATTTTCCCTTTAATGGCACTGTTTTGCCACTATCTGGGTCGTAAAATTGGTGTGAGTCAGTTTGTACTAAGACAATTAAATTCAGACTTGATCTGGATGGATCTCATCTGATTTTGCCCTAATCTGGATTGCTCCAATCAGCACATTTTTCCTGTTGCCTCCGATTCATTAAAGTCATCATAAATCAGAAGGAATATGATGATACATGACAACACTAACAGGTACTCTTGAGACACGGAGGCCACCTGTACTTCTAGGTAATGATGTCGAGTTTAAAGGCACCCTTAAACTATCATCCTGATCTAGAACACCACCCTTTGCACACAGCTTAATGAATGGAAAGCCCACTTGAAACACATTGGCTGAAATTCTATAGTGCAGTTACATAAATGGCGTAAGTTTTAGATGCAAATTGCCATAAATTAAGAAATCCCCGTAGGCATTATTTGTTGCACACCGAGATGCACAACTCAATATGCAACAGATAATGTCTATGGAGATTTCTTCACTTATGGCAATGTGCTTCCAAAAGTTATGCTGCTTGTATAACGGTACAACAGGATTTCAACCATTATCTTCATTTTGTTGGAACTGCATTAGTTAGATACTGTCCATGCCAAACCTAGACCTGAAACCAGTTTGAAATGGATCTAGAAAACCAGCTCAATCCATGACAGCCTAGAGTTATAGGGGGAGGATTTCTTTGACATTTCACATTTTCTCTGCAACCTACATTTTAACCCATAAGCAAGTTCAAACATTTTTTGAGTAATCTGTCCTTAGGTTGCAGAAAAAAATATGACATGTCATAGAAATCCTCCCCTAGATCAATGACTACCACTGAAGCACTTTTCCCAGGAAAATTATCAGTAACTGGACAGTAGTATTTAAATCTTCTGGGCCCATCTTCACCCCTAAAGAACTGATTGCTGCCTCTTTTAACACAGTTCATACTGCTCTCTGTGAGCTTACCACCTTGTGAGCTCAGTCAGACATCCCCTGTTTTCTAATATTAAGCAGCCAAGGGGATAAAGGGCAAGCATACATGTTGTTGCTCACACTGGAAGATGAAACAGGGAAGTTAATGTTCTGATTGCAACCTGGCCATATCAGGAACTGGCTGGGAGCAAATAGCAACTGAATCAGTTTGGAGAAGGCAGTTCTTAAGTCATGCAAAGACATGAAAGCTTGTTCTGAAAGCAGAGCTTTGCAGCTAAATGACTTGTTCTTTGGGGGCTTTTCTAGTAGAGGCCTGGCAATACTGGTAGGTCTCAACAACAATAGCCTTGCCAATTACATGTTAAATGGGGTGAGTGGGGAAGAGTGGCTATCAGTAGGTGGGATTTTCCCCTGCAGCCCATGTACTTTTTTCACAAATGCCTAGGGAGTATAGGCCACAGGATACACAAAAGGAATTCAGGAAAATAAAAGGGAAATTTTAAATCAGAAAATGTAAGTCCAAAGGGGGGGGGGTAGGGGAAGGCAACCAAGATGAAAGAAGCATGCTTAAATCAGAGGCAATCTAGACTTCACATCTTCTGCAACAATGGACAAAAAGAGACTGAGGAGATAGCTGGAACTGTGCCTGGACCCTGGACAGGAGGAAGGGGTGGGTCTCCTGCCAAGAACACTCCACTCAGTGCTAGGACGTACCAAACTAGGCTATGCCAGCACAGAAAAGCTATGTGTATGACACAACAAAGAACATTTCCTTGTTTTGTTCTATATCGTCTATGAACTGTAAAAGAATAACCACCACAAGGAGAAAAAAATGCTCTGCAAATCACATAGCCTCCTTAGTCTCTTCTCAGTACCTCATAAATATTGTGATTATCCATTGTACGTCTACTATAATTATGTATCTGCTATCTAAAGAGAAGCAGAGTTTTCATAACAACATCAGTTTATTCAAATAACCACAACATGATACTACTGCAATAAGAAGGCAAAACCATCCCCAGGCCGAATATAATTTGTTTCCACTAAAGAGTAGTATAATAAAAGCTAGGTTCTAGTTGGAGCTAAATTGTTTTAAAAACTGTATTTCGGAACTACCCGTGTCACTCGCAGAGTGGTCTTAATCGACTAGATAGGCAGGATATAAATAGAATAAATAAAAAAATAAAAATAAATAAACTAATGGCTTCACACAGTAAGTCAAAACTTGAGTAAGGCCACCAAATTCATGGAACTCACCAAATCTCCACTGGTTCAAAGGGCCTATTCCACTTGGGATTATCAGGATTTTAGCCATTGTTTTTGAAATTCAAAATCAGTGAATTTAAATGTTCACATCATTCAGATCAGAAATAGCAAATTCTGAAATGGAGACATTGTACTACTGCTCAAGTTCTGATGCACCAATGGGAATGCCACCCGAGTTCTTTTATTGGAAGAAAGGTAAAATATCAAATAAAATGACAAAAAGAAAGAATGAAATTTGAAATTACTTATTTTAGTCTGGAAATATATATATTTTAACTACAGGATGACTGCTTCAGCTCAAATGCCAGAGGATCAATGAACAGTTTTATCTTTCTGTTTTATGGCCAAAATATCACATTTGGACTTACTATCAGATGACGGGATGTCCTGTGGAGAAGTTGTATGGCTGGTATTCAGATTATCCTCGTAAACTGGAGATGCCCAAAGGGTCACAGCTCCCTTTCCAGTACAGACTTTAGGAGGATCTAAATCTACAGCAAAAATAAAAGCATAAAGAAAACATGTTGAAACTGTGGGAAGAAACATAAATTCCAGATAGTGCCTGACATTCATCTGACTTCAGTATGACTGCATTTAAGCAAACTGATCTAAAAGTGTTTATGTGGATTGAAATGCATGTACTGTATTTGTAGTCACGTTTATCTGTATTCATCTATAAACAGGGAGAGATTGTTTGGCAAATACTGTAAACAAATAAGCAAATAAAGAAATAAATATTAGATTATAACTGGGGGGGCAGAATTATTACTGATCATCGTAAACCAATTTGAGAGCCTTTTTAGATGAGGAGCAGGATAAACAGACTTTTCACATACAAGCAAACAAACAGAAAGTCAATCAGAACAGCAAGCCATGAAAGGCTTCTCATTTGCTTGCGTTTATTAGGTGGGTATGATGACCATGGCTATTGCAGAGCACTTTTTTCCCTAAAAATGTGCACCACTTGCTTTTATGTGGCACTCTATAAGCTTTATAGAGACAGTTATTCAACCCTTTTCCTCCTGAATTGAGGGAGATGGTATCATGGAAATATATCAGTTTTGCTAGGCCTTTTCCTCTCTACAATTCCAAGATTCACTTGACCATCAATCAGATGTCCTTTAACTGTGGATTTACTGCACTGGCAGGGGGCTAGGCCTGATGACTCAGGGGGTCTCTTCCAGCTCTGCAACTTGGTGATTCTTTCTTAACCAATGCAGCTTTTACAAACATTGGTGATGACGTCTTTAAACTGACTCCCCCCTTTCATACTATCTCACCCAGTTCCAGTTAGATGCTTGACATTTTTTGTAATGTACAGTTAAACAAACAACATTAGCTGAGCAGCATTTTTCTTCAAGCTTTAGCAATACAGATGAGAAAGGGGTCCTTTGTCCATTTCCTGCAACACTAGAGAGCCACACTGTGGGGAAACATTGTCCCCTTATCATAAAACGTCCAGCACCTCTGTCCACTTGCTACTATATCTGAAAGTTACACTGAGTAAAGAAATGCGGCCTCCTTTGCACAGAAAGGGTGGCAAAGGCACCTAGTTAGCAACATCCTCAGGAGCCCTTCTCTGTCACTAGCATTCCTCGCTCACCTTCTCCCCCTGCAGGCCAATGTACACAGATGCTCCAGAGAGAATGGTTGGAGATGTTGACAAGGAGAAGCAGCTCACTTAGCTTGTTGTTTTTAATGCGTTTCCATGGGATTTTTTATTTCGCTTAATGAGGATTTCGTTCTACAGCGATTTCGCTGGAATGGATTATCCTCGTTAAGCGAGGCACCACTTGTACTTCTCTCGCAAACAAAACATGCTGTTGAATTTTTATTTTCACTCTGTATTGTAGAAATTAACCGCGACCCTCATGAACCTGCTGAATGTAATCTATAAAAGTCTTGTTATATACTGCCATATTATCTAAGTAAGTTATTTTCTCTCAAACTTTTCAAATTCTTTTAATGCATGAGGGGTGGCGGTGAAGACATTTGTCCCACAGCTTGGCCCCAGTTGGGGGTGGGCTGATTCACTCCTTTTCCTGATGGCCACATGATGCATGTGCCGTCCCAAACCAGCCCACCCCTGATCAATGCCTAACAGCATCTTTTTGGGATCCTTGTCAAAGCTACAGCTTTTTGGTCCATCTTGGTTCAGTTTCAGTGAATGTGATGGCTGGCATCGCATCAAAGCAGCTGACTAGGTATCCCTTTGCTGAAGCCAGTTAACAATCTTGAGAAATAGGGAGCTTCCTTCCGCTCACCTGCAGAAGGGAACATTTTCTGTTTCTTTTTAATTGCCGGAATGCTTTGAAGGGGCTTCTTTTAAAAAGCCCTTTCAAAGTATCACCAATGTGCTGTGTCACTTGACAACAATTTTAAAAAACAACAACATAAAACTTCCCCTCCCTTCCCCTTCACAAGTGAGAGGAAAGGAAGCTTCTTATTTTATCAAGATCATTAAGCTGTTTAGGCAAAGCAGAAAGGGTTTTTTGTGTGTTTGTTTGTTTGTTAATCTTTCCATGTGGATACAAAGACAGCCCCAAATGTCATACTGCACTTCAAAGTGACCTTGTTCAGCAAAACAACCCTGTTTAGCATGATCTGGACTGAACTAAGCCAGGATAATTGGGCCATCTTGTCACACCCTGTTAAATGTTACAGCTGAAAAAAGGTAAGTCAAAATGAAATCCTAAACTATTCTTATAACCCTTTTCTTACTGTAATAAAACTACAAGACACTTACTATCAGCACTAGCAAACCTTAAATATATGTCTTTACCATGACCGAAAATAAAGTGCCATGACAATCAAGTACAATGTGTCATCTTGGTTCATGCTAGTCAACACAAATACATATTTCATCACCATTTTAACTTACAAAGAGCACTAGCAATGGATTGAAGGGACTAGGCTGAGCCACTCATCCATGATCCAATAAGTATCCCACACAGAATCGCAATTTAAACATAAAGGCACTCTGCAGTCCAAGAGAAACTGAATTATAAAATGTACTATATATCAAAGAGAGTCCATATTTTTGAATAAAACTTTTCCCCATAAAGCAAACTGCACTTTTCGTCTCTGATCCGGGGTCTGCAACAAGAAATCTTAACTATTAACTTCTCAATGGTATCCGTCTCTGTAGCCCTATTGCCTAGATAATAAAGGTTAGCTTGATTAGCATGCCTTAATTATTCCTTCTATAGCTGAATAACTTCACCAAAGTTCTGTGTCAATTTGATTCACTAGGCTAGAAAAATCTAGCCCTTTTAGAGGATCAAAGCTGGCCAACCACCTTAAATGTTCCTCTCAACACAGACTCACCAGGAACGGTCTGCTTGACTGTTGCCACATCTTCCTACAACATCCCTAGCTGTTCAAGGGCCTCCTCAGTCAGCAGCTTTTGTTGTCAAGGTACTCAGTAGTGTGTATAAGCAATGCAGTTAATTTTTTTTTCCTCCAGAGATTTCCAAGAACTCACACAGACTCTGAAAGGTCTGCTTTGGTGCTGGTGCAGCTGTCCCTCTATGAATTATTAAAACAGATTCATTCTTATTACTCTTGGGGAAGGGTGCAATGTTAACATTGCTATGTTATGTACTCTACTGCTCCTTTTCATCACTTTTCCATCTTTTTTAAAATAATGATTGATAACAGAATGGCTTAACACTTGAAAACCTCCATTTTCCTCAAAAATGCCTTAAATTGCCCTAGAAGGATCTAGAAAAAATAACTACAAATGTTAGTTCTTCCAGTCACACGGAACTGTGAATTCATTACACCCTCATTATAACCCTACACCAGCATAATTTGCTACTTGTCTCTACTACTTGTAACTAGCTATTTCCAAGATATATTCCACAGTGTACTCTATATCCGTATGGACATTTTCATGCTCCTGTGTCCATCCTTCCTTTCAAGGAATATGGAGTATGGCTTGGTATTTAAAGCACAAACAGGAGATGCAGAGGCTCTGATCAGATTCTCGAAAAGGCTGCCCAGTTTAACAGCATGAAGCCATCCTCCATTATAAAAACATTAATACATTGATCATTAATTTTAAGACAATCAGAGATGCTTTTTTATTTACATAAAGTGAGCACATAATAAAATAACTGATCACAATAGTTCCTATTTTTTAAAAAAATACCAGCCTATTTCCCCCTATCGAACACCAGATTCTACAGCAAAGTTGGTTATATGAGCAACAATACTCTACAAATCTACAGATACTCCTCTATCCCTTCTTAACTGAGTCATTTCTACTTTCTTTTGATTTAATCTGAATGATCACTATTGCACAAAAGGAAGAAAAGTATTACGTCAGACACATATATCCTGTTTACCTTTATTTATTGTTACCTTTTATGTATTTACTTTCCTATCAATTCTTTTTTTGAATTACAATTGCCAACCTTGCAATCTGAAAGCATGTAAATGCAAGTAGGTAAATAGGTACCACCTCGGTGGGAAGGTAATGACATTCCATGTCTAGTCGCGTTGGCCACGTGACCACGGAAACTGTCTACAGACAAACGCTTGCTCTACGGCTTGGAAACGGGGATGAGCACTGCTCCCTAGAGCCAGACATGACTGGACATTTGTCAAGGGGAACCTTTACCTTTACCTATATACAGCTATTTGTCGGTCTATATATGAACACACACATGCACTATAATATATGTGATGGATTCATTACGTAATGTTATAAAAACACACATCCTGATTTATAGAGAAAACCATAGAGATAAATTCTCCATCTTTAGTTAATGTACCTCTTTCTTGCCCACTGGTGTTCAGTATTAGCCCATTCACAACAGAAGTCCCAACATCATCTTCTTTGTGTTCTGAAAGATTAGCAGAAATTATCAGTACAGCCATCTGGCACTCAATCCACAAGAGTAATACAGTTTCCAAGAGGTTCTGGTCACTATATGAAGAAGGTACAAGATAAACGAAAAGGAAGGAAAATTGTGTTATAACACCAAGAGCAATGGGCAGCGGAGAAAGGAAACAAAGTAAAGTGCAGGTTTCTGCCCTAATGTTTCCATATTCAAGGGCATGAGGAGGAGCTGTTAGTAAACTGAGAACGATATGAGTGAGTAGGGTTGGAGGGTTTTTAAATAATTTACTTCTCTATTAAGTAAAATAAAGTTTCAGTAAAGCTTAAATGAAAGCTAGAAATCTCTTTGACACATTAATGGAAAACAGGATTAAAGCAATCCTGGAAATAACATTAATCAACTATAGAACCACTCTAAAGGCAGGACAGAGATGGCAAGGCAGCCTTGAAAGAGTTCTAAAGTTGGCTTCCACTCCTGTTTCTATTTATTGTTTAGGAAAAGACAGTTTGGGGGCTCTATCAGGTACCAAAATTTCAGGCCAGCCTAAAAGCTCTACTATTCCATTATGTTTTTCTACCATTCCATCTAGTTGTAAGCCTACGGGTCACACACACCAACACATTCCAAAGAGTAACCAAAGGACATATGAAAACATACTTGCAACAACTGGATTAAATTCTTCAATCTTTACTAGATCAATATAGAGCAACAGAGACAAGAGTTTAGCCTTAGCTACTTATAAAGCAGACACCCAGTGTCAGTGGATAGAGTAAGAGAAATTTCAGTTTGATTCCCCAGTTGGCCATGGAAACTCACTGGAGGTTGCTGACTATGTTAAAGCCACTCTTAAATATCTTACTTACCTTGAAACTCCTATTAAGGTAGCTATAAGTCAGTTCTGACTTTACGGGACATAACAAACAAACAGCTCTAGATCAGTGTCTGAGGTCAGTGATGGACTGGATGAGGGTGAATAAACTGAAACTTAATCCAGACAAGGCACAGGTGCTCCTGGTCTGTTGAAAGGCAGATCAAGGAACAACAATGTAGCCTGTGCTTGATGGGGTTACACTCCCTCTAAAAACACAGGTGTGCATCTTGGGGTGCTCCCAGATTTATCTCTGACAAATACCCAGGTATCAGTGGTAGCCAGGGCGGTATTTGCATAATTACAACTAGCATGCCAGCTGCACCCATTCCTGCAGTTACAGCCTGACTGGATTACTGTAATGCACTGTATGTGGGCCTGCCCTCGTAGAGCGCATTACAGGAAAGTGCCGGAAAATGTCTGCTGATCCAAAACACAGCAGCCAGATGGCTAACTGGGACTGGCCACAGGAATCTCATACCCCCGCCCCCATTACACCAGCTCCTCTGGCTGCCAATCCATTTCTGGGCACAACTTAAAGTGCTGGCTCTAACCTATAGAGCCCTAAATGGCTTAGGTCCAAGCTATTTCAAGGACCAGATCTCCCTTTATCAGCCTGCTCAGATGTTCAGATCATCAGGAGAGGCCTTTCGCTTGGTCCCGTCATCTTCAGAGGTGTGTTTGGTGGGGACACGGGAGATGGCTTTCTCTGTTGCTGGTCCCAGACTTTGGAACTCCCTCCCACAGGAGGTCAGGCTGGCCCCACCTTTACCATCTTTCTGCAAGCAGGCAAAGGCAAGCCTTCCCTTAGGGCTGTCTGTCTGAATGTGGCTTTAAAAAGCCTCTGATGTTGCTCATCCAAGAAATTCATCTTCTATTTCTTCACCATTTATCCTCACTCTTCCCTTCAATTATGTATTGCAGGATATTATATCTGTCCTGATAAATTATGTGTCCAAGATATGAGAGCTTGCATTTCTTAATAATCAACTCTATTTCTTTTTTATTTCCTAGCTGACGAAGTACCTCTTCATGCTTCATTCTGAAAGCCCATGAGATATAAAGGATTCTTCTGTATGTTCACATTTCCCAAGCATTTACTTTCTTGAGCATCTCTTTCTTAATACTCCCCCCATCCACCTAGAGTATAAAGAATGAAGAACTGTTTTGTTAGTATTCTTTGCCATCTGCACTGAACAGTGGCGGTGGGGGGGGGGGAGAACACAATACTTCAGTATCTAAACTTCTCAACTTGCTCAGGGTGCTGCCCATCAATTATCCACTTATTTACCAAACCATGTCCAAAACTGGCTGTTCATGAAAAGATCTAACAGTCATTTAATGCCTGTTTTAGAGGATGACATAAAACAGCATCATTCCCGTGTAATGGGATCTTTGCCCCTACAAATTTTGGTACATAAAATTCTATGCTAAGCAACCCCTTATGAAGTCAAAATCCCTACAAAATAAAACCCTGGTGGATTCCACTGGTGACAAAGATAGGATATGTGAAATTATCGTCCAGGCCACACTTTATTCAAATTATATTGACAAAGATATAATAAAGTAAAAACAGTCCTTTGTCAAGGCATGAAAAATATGACATACCCCATTGGTTTTTTCCTTTCTGAAACAGGTTTATTCATTTCCCCAAATATTCTCCTCCTCCATCCAAATGGCAATCCTGATATTTAGAGAACTACCTTATAACTTGCCCACACTGCCTGATGAGTCTCTCATTTAATGGGTCCTTTGCCTCCTATTTAAAGGATTCGAATCACAACAGGCCTTAGCCACGCCAAGGAAGCTGGGCCAGTGTTGTTAATTGTGTAAAGAGCTGTGCCAAAAGGGGCTTCAACAATCAGACTTCATAATTTCAGGGCTATCGTATTTGATCCCAAGGCCTTTCCTATTTTTGGATTGGTTATTAGGATCTTTATCCTAAGTAAAGAACCCCAAAACTGAAGGTTCAGCTGCTTATAGTTAAAGTTTATTTTCCTCTCGTAAGAGTATTTATGAACAATATGGGAAATGGATATAAGGATCCCTGTTTCAGGGAATTGCTGACCATCCATTGAACAGCTGTTCGAGCTTTCCTCCCTGCACTATGTGAGACTTCCTTGAAGCTCCTAAGTAGGCAGCATGTTATCCTAGCTTTCTCATCACATTAGCAAGCCTGTACCCTAGGTTAAACAAGGAAAAAGAATGTATAAATAATTTTATGTGTATGCATATAAACTTATTTATATACACTGTGACCAATTTTTGGAATTATGCCAGGCCCTAACATCAGGTTAGTGATTTGGGAACTCCATGGACATGCTGTATCTTGATCACAGTAAAGCATTTGACAAAAATATTCCTGTTCACATAATGGTAGAATGTGAGGCAGATGATGAGTCTATTAGTTGGCTGAGTACTCATTAACAGCTCTGTATCAAAGGTGTGAGGGAGAAAGGATTTACAGTATTTATTTATTATCTATTTATTTCTGACATTTATATACTGCCCCATTAGTGCACTGCACTATTCTGGGCAATGTATGTGTAAAAATGAACAAAATAACGTAATCAAATATAGTAAAACCAGATGACAACAAGCTAAAATAAACCAGGCTTTGAATGGGGGAGCTGCAGTTCTCTGTCCTTGGCTCTGAAATGTTCAACGTCAATATAAATAACTTGGGTGAGAGCACAGAAAGGATGTTTATGCAGATGACACAAGTGTGGGAGAGACAGCTATCATTATAAAAGTATCAAGATGCAAAATGATATTGACATGTCCGATTGTTGGACTGAAACCAACAAAATGAAATTCCAGCCGAGATAAATATAAAGTCTTGCTTTTACACCAAAGCCAAAGGTGTGCTCTTGTTTGTCTGTCTCTTTTACTTAGACTTTTCAATAACAAAAGTTTTTTCGGGGACCGAGATGTGGTGTGGCAGCCAAACCAAGATGTCCTAGTGGATCACAAGCTGAATATGAATCAGCAGCATGGTATGGGTGCTAAAAGCCTATGGAATGTTAGGCTGCGTTGACACAGGATGCAGATGACAGTAAGCAATAACTGTTTGGATTGGTAGTGGTGGAGGTGATATCACCATCAGAATGCTTTCCACTCGCTATGAAGCTCTGTTACCAAAACATGAACAGTTCTCCACCAGAGCAAAAGCCTGTGGAACTTTCAGCACCAAAACTGACTAACCGGTCTGACTGGGCCCAGAAGATGGTGCTGGGAGATCACTGTTTGATTCATTAGGCTTTTGAATTTTTTTATTCTGTATCCCACATTCATTATCTACATGAAATCACTGGAGCTTTGCAGTGAGGTTTTGCCAACATGATGATGACACTGAGAAATATTTCCCCATGTCGCCTAACACCAAGGAAGCAGTCAATAACTCTTCCAGTAACAGCCTGGATGAGAAATAGTGGCATTAGTTTGAAAGATTTCCTTGGGCCTGGTATCCAGCCCTTTGAGAAGGGGCCCTATAAAGACCTGGTCTGTGGGATCCTCCACAGGTGGTCGTGGTGAGGAGTGCTTTTGCACAAAATAAAGGACCTGGCTGATCGACATTGGAGGAACAAACAAACAAAAACAAATAAGGCTTACCAGAAGTCATTGCACCAGGGGGAATTGGCTTTTGCACATACAATTTCTGATGTTTTCTGTGAAACAAAGGATAGAAAATGTCACAAAAGCATACTTTATACTGAACATAAATACAGTATTATAAACAGAATAAGCATCCACTACATCCAAGGATATTGATCTAACAGATCTCGGGTAAATATAGACATTACAGAGAGCTGATGAGCAGAAGAGGCAAAGGGCTGCTTGCAAATTAGCTTGATGAAGTTTGCAAATTAGCTTTCCCTGTTCTGTGTTTGATTTTCAGGACTCAAGCATAGGATTCCTTTGAAATATGATTTCTCAAACAGGAAATATGCCTTCAATCATGTTCCTCCAACATTAATATTCTTGTAGCTCTAATTACAACCTATGAATAACGTCTGATTCTGCCTGCTGATTATGTTTCATCAGTGTCTCCGTGATGGCAACAGCCTGCTGGTGTGCATGGAGAATGTAACGGTCCTGCACAGGAGTTATCTTTCAGGTATGTCACAAAGCGATGACAGAATCTTACCTTAGTGTATCTTAGTATTAGGGGAGCACAAGAATGGGTTATATTTGTGGCCCATGCTGACAATGGTTTACAGCATGGGTGGACAACTTGGAAGCTAAGAAATGGTTCCTAAGATAGAGGGAGCTTGACACGCAGGTAGGACCTAACAATTTTGCCTACTTACAGGTGTCTTTATCCATGTGCTTATTTAATGAGCTAAATAAATAAACTGTCACATTCTAGGTGATAGCTGATAAAATGTGCATTGCATTCAGACACACAGTTGACTACCAAAAATAATGAATTATGTCAGATGAAACATTTCCAATATGAGTAATGTGAAGATAATGATGAATTAAAATATAAAAGTTTACAGAGTTGATGAAAGCACAAAGTCAATATAGTCAGCAAAGGGGGAAAACACTGAAGACTTTATTAAGTGACTGCAAAGACAACTGTAAAATCTCTTAACACATCTTCTCTTCTTCACAACACACATACACACACACACGCTGTCATGCTGAAGCACGCCCCTTTGGAACTGCAACAGGTGTCTATCTCTGGACTAGATCAGATGGAAAGCTGAAGACCAAAATCCAGCTGAAATGCATGTAGGACTTTCTGTTCACCGATGATGCAGCCATTGTTGCCCACACTGCTGAAGACCTCCAACAACTCATGAATCATTTTAGCAAGGCCTGCCAAGACTTTGGATTAACAATCAGCCTGAAGAAAACACATGGGCTAGGGTGTGGAGTCACCTCCCTCTATTACCATCTCCACACAAGACACATGACTTTGTGTACCTTGGCTCAACAACTTCTGACACTCTCTCCCTAGATGTTGAGCTGGATAAACGTACAGTATTGGCAAAGCAGCTACCATGTTCTCTAGACTCACAAAGAGAGTATGACTTAATAATGCTGACGGCATATACCAAGATCCAGGTTTATAGAACCTGTGTCCTGAGCAGACTCCTGTACTGCAGTGAGTCCTGGACCCTTTGTGCATGGCAGGAGAGGAAGCTGAACACGCTCCATATGCATTGTCTCTGACACATTTTTTTGGTATCACCTGGCAGGACAAAGTTCCAAATCAAGTAGTCCTAAAACAAGCTGTCGTTTTTAGCATGTAAACATTACTGAAACAGCAACGTCTACGTTGGCTTGGGCATGTCATGAGAATGGCTGATGGTCGGATTCCAAAATATCTCCTGTATGAAGAATTAGTGCAGGGAAATCGCCCCAGAGGGAGACCACAAGGATATCTGCAAGCGGGATCTGAGGGCCTTAGAAATTGATCTCAACAGATGAGAAACCTTGACGTCTGAGCATTCAGCCTGGAGGCAGGCGGTGTAGCATGTCCTCTCCCATTTGTCCAGCAGGCCAAGGTAAAGAGGCAGTCCCGGAACCAGCAGAATCAGGGAGCTGGACAGGGGACAGATTGTATTTGTCTTCAGTGTGGAAGGAATTGTCACTCTCGAATTGGCCTTCTCAGCCACACTAGACACCGTTCCAAGTCCTCCATACAGAGCATGTTGCCATAGTCTTTCGAGACTGAAGGATGCCTAATCTAAAGTATTTGAAAAATGCCATGTTCACTATCATTTTCCACCCACTTTAAAGTATGTTTGTCCAATATTAAACTTAGTGAACTAACAAGCTGAGCTCACCACACCATTGCTATAAAAATGATTCTTGAAATATGATTCTAGAAATTGAAACCTATGTCATAAGTATCATCAATATCAGTATGAATAGCATCACAAATTGTGTATCAGTGCAATGAAGTCTCTCATGAAGCATCTTTCCTGTAAACAATGGCCCTGCTGGATCAAGACTTGTAAGCCTGCCTTGCCGATTACCTCGAGAGGTGGTGAGTACTTCCAACACTCGAGGCATTAAAGAGAAACTTAGGCAACCACCTGGCAGATATCCTTTGATTTCTATTCCTGTATTGAGCTGGGGGATGGACTTGATGGCCTTATAGGCCCCTTCCAATTTCACTATTCGATGATTCTATAGGCACTGAGGTCACTGTTCCATCTAGAAGCTGTTCTAAAGAGATGAGAGGATGGGGCTAGGGAATAATGTGGCTTCAGGGGGAAGTAATACAATTTCTCTTCTTCCAGTCGTCCTCTTCATATTTATCTAATGGCAGGCCCTGCCACGCAGGATAAGTACTCTTGAACTGGTGGTAGTACAGCACTCTTGAAAGCAAAAAATCCAATCAAACAACTATACTAAAAAATTCAAACAAAAATCCCTGTAAAAAACCCACAGAAACATACTATTAGATTTCATGTACAGTACGCCATTACTGCCTCTGAAGATCCAGAGGTTTCAAAGAAACAGGCCCTTCTATCTCAGGAAAGATCATTATGTGCTGCTGAATTAAAGAGGTTTTATGAATACTCTAGAAGTAAAAGTAAAAATAAACTGAAAAGGAAATTTAAAAGACATGTAGGGGTGTGAGATATTGGGAAGAATATCCTTATAAACAGCAACCACACAAACTGTGGCATTCATTTCCAGATTATCCTAACTGATTTTTATTATAAATAAATGCAAGGACAGTTAATTAATAAAAGTTACACTTTATGAATTTATCTCAATATTTGAGTCTGCCACATTTAATAGAAGGGATAACCTGACTTTCACCTTTGTTGTTTTCTTTCCTTTCCTTTCAACAGTATTAATTCTACTACTACATATTACATCCCACCCTATAAAATCACATTAATTGATGGTGTTTATTATGTTATTGTTACATGATCATTATTATTCAGTTTGACTTGGGTTTTTTTCTCAGTTCATTATTAGATTTTTCCCCCTGTTAATTTGTTTATACATTTTAGTGATGCGTTAAGAGGTTTCTGAAATTGCTTACCAAAAACCCACAATATTATAATTAAATATAAAACCATATTCTTAAATATGTCCATAAACACTGCTAAGGTATACAGTAAGTAGCTTCTTCAGAAGAATTATTCAAAAACAGAAACTGAATTTTTTTTTTAGTCTTCAAATATTTTTCTTTTGAAAAACTCCTCTAATAATGATGGAGTCACATAAATGCAGGGTGGAGGGAATATCACAAATGCAAACTGCCACTGAAAATACTCTGCCCCTCTTAGTTACGAAAAGGGCAGCCTCTGGGGTCCAGAGGACAATTTCTGACCCCAGGACCCTCAACCAGCCCATACAACCAAAAGTAACCAGAAGTCTAGCACATCTTTCATGAACCCCTTTCCTTGGATTTCAGCCAAATATATAGAAAGGGGGAGGACATCCATGGGCCACAAAAATAGGCAAGAGGCTGTGCACCATTAAATGACTGCCATTTCTTCCCTAGTTACACATTCATGTGAAGTCACTAACCTGCCCTGAGTGCATCACAATAATTTTGCTTATTCTGCATATCTTGAACTATTTGCCTAATATCACCTTTTAATCCAAGTATCCCTCTGGATGTGATGGTGCTGTGGGTTAAACCGCAGAAGCCTCTGTGCTGCAAGGTCAGAAGACCAGCAGTCATAAGATTGAATCCACGCGACGGAGTGAGCTCCCGTCGCTTGTCCCAGCTCCTGCCAACCTAGCAGTTCGAAAGCATGTAAAAGTACGAGTAGATAAATAGGTACCACTTTGGTGGGAAGGTAACAGGGTTCCGTGTCTAGTCACGCTGGCCACGTGACCACGGAAACAGTCCATGGACAAACGCTGGCTCTACGGCTTGGAAACGGGGATGAGCACTGCACCCTAGAGTCAGGCATGACTGGACTAAATGTGAAGGGGAACCTTTACCATTACCTTGTCCCTCTGTTGTCGTTATTATCCACAGGATTACAATAATCTAAGTGTCTACTCTTGCAATCAGTAATGCATTTTTCTCCCCTGGAAATCTCACTCTTAACTTTTGACAATAAAATGGCACCTGTTCAGGGCAAGACTGTGCACTTCTCTTATACCCACAGCTGCATTAAACAGGGGTGAGCAGATGACACTCTGTGAGATGCACTAAAGGTGATTCAGGCAAATCTTCCCTGACGCTTTCTGAAAAGATTGCAGTACTCTGGCTGTCATTTTTGAATACTTAAGACTGAGATATACTCTCACTCCCAGTGCCTTGACTGCTCTTGGAAATATTTACACATTTAGTGTACAGAGGTGAAATAGGGTTGCACTTCACTAAATAAACTTTTGAGAATTGTGAACTGCAACTGCAAATTACCATCCTGGTGTCAATGCCTAAATTTTTTTTCTTCTCTTGCCAGAAAACAGAAGTTCACAGAAACTGGAATGTTTCTTTTAATTCTCTATTAGCCCTCCCCCCCTTTTTTTTTTGCAATATAGCTAACACACGACACCTTCTCTACCTGATGTTCCCATGGAATTTTGGAGGCCGGCAAGTTAGATTTTTTGCATAATGACCAGTGCTCTAAATTTGCCACTCTATCATGTGTCATTTTGTATTCTGTTTGTGCAATCTTTGGACATTTGCAGATGAGATGTGTCACAGTTCCATATTTTTCTAGGCAGAGTC